CAGAAGAGAAAAGTGTGGGTGGTTTCATTAGAGAAGAAGGCAGAAGAGCTCACTCAGACCAACATGCAGCTTCAGGTACACTATGAACTTCAGGTGTTGAAAACTGCAACAGTCAGCATGTATTTTTGACACAGCTCCTCAGCAAGAACTTAACGTTTGTTGTCCCGTTTTGGACCAGCGATGATGGCAATAAGTTGGATTGGTGTGAGAATGTGTAAATGTCCAACACTTACAATCAGTCAGTTGGTAAAAAATCAAAGCTGCAGAGCTCCAAAAAGAAAAGATCCTGATCCCCATAATGCCACTGAATCTTTTGTTAGACCATCCCTGTCTGGTAAACATCTTTCAAACTCCAAAATTTGTAACCAAATTGCAGTTATATATTGAGATTCTTAAGCCGAATGCAAGTTATAAATTAACATTGAAGTTATACACTGTTTGTTTTCCATACAAGTGTTTAAGGATAATAACGTAGCCTGCTTAAATTGTTGATTCCCTGGATGATGGACTTAAAATTCTTCTGTGTTTTCAGAATGAAGTGACCATGCTCAAGAACGAGGTGACCCAACTCAAGCAGCTTCTCCTCACACACAAGGACTGTCCCATCACCACTATGCAGAAAGAGTCCCAAGGTTACCTCAGTGAGTAGCTCAGACATAGACACAGACACACACACACACACACACTTGGGAATTTGAGCAAAAACACACCTTCATCTGTGTGCCATAGCCATACAGTGCAGATAGCACTGCGGGGAAATGTTAATTGTCTTGCCAGAGGAAAGATTTAAACTCTACAGACTGAAGTGTGATGGACACACAGTGACTGCCAAGACTCTTCGCTCCTATGTGCTGCTATCCAGTTCCCACGCTCATGGCAGGACTCTTCCTTTCACATATGGGTGTTGCACACTCTGGTAGCCAGCCTGGACTGGGAGTTGGTAGTCTGAATCCCGTATGAGCCCGTTTTTTCCATCCAACAGCACCTCCGTACAGAGGCAGCCGAGAGTCAATGTGAGAAAGACGTCACAGGCCGCACATTGGCATCCAAACTCTCATGGATGCCCCAAGATGCTCACTGATTACCGGACTGTGCCTCGGCTCAGCCGCGCATGACATCAGAGCCCCACCCTTTGATACGGATACAAGTTACATTTCCATGTAATTAGGATAAGGCACCTCCCTATGTGACTTTACTGCAGGAAAATAAGGCTCACATCCCCCCTGGCTGAATGGTTCTTTTATACAGAAGAGAGCCAACTCCCAGACTGGGCTGGGAGAGACTTTCATCGATGAGTCTAGCTCGTGTACAGATGTCACCTTCAATGTGTCCGAACTTCATCAGGCTTGTTTATGGAGTCACTTTACCATTTTTGTGCTTTCCATTTATCGTCTATTTTGGGATGACAGGTGAGACTTTAGGTGTGAATATAATGTGTCATATGTTGACATTTATCTGTTTCTGCTAATAAAGCTGGTTGTTTTTTTTACAATAATGTGGTCTGTGTTTATTTTGATATCATTCATTATCATTTGTTTTCCTGTCATATTATATTGTGAAGCCTCTGTGGAGAAGCATGAAGGTCACAGTACTTACACTAATCTACGCACATGTTGTCCATCCTCACTGATGTCTCTACTGTCTCCTCAGGTCCAGAAAGCAGTCAGGCGGGCAGTCCAGCGCCAGAGTGCTCCCAGCAGCAGGTCATCCAGCACAACACCATCACCACCTCCACCACAACTGTAGGGGGCAGCAGTGTGCACGGGCAAACCAATCACCGCACAGACATTAACCCCATTCACTAGGGACAAGAGAGACTATACCCCCCCCCCCGACCTTGCTTTCTGAGGGTTGCCAGCTGCACAAGCTGACCTCCCTCGTTCCCTCCATCAAGAAAAACCTCAAAGGCCTGTGAGGCTGTTCTTTATACAGTAGCTACAGTATGTATTTTTATAGACCAACCCTATTAACCCATAAATGTTCTTTAGTTTGTTGCCTCTTTTTTAGTTTTTACCTGTTTTTATGCTTTTAGCAAAAAGGCAGTTTTGCTAATCTCATGCAGCATTTAAGTGACTTTTTCTATTGTTTAATGGTACAAAAAGGACCATGGTGGTCATGGAACCAGGGGACAGCGACATAAGCCTCAGACTGTCATCCCTATTAGCAGACCTGACATCTCTGTACTCCTTATGGACTGAACAATGAGTCAATGTATTCTCTGAATATCACTTACGGACAGTATGTTGAGTGTATGCAACAGACACTATGTGAGTGGGAAGTTGCTGCCTTTAAGCCAAGTCAAACTGTCCCTATGATGTCTTGAAGACAGGAATATGCAAGCAGGTGTAATGATCCTTTTCTTTCCTAGAAATGAATATGACTGTTAACCTTTTCCCTGTCAGCGGTATTCTTACCGAGTGTCATGAAATACAGCATGACAGCGAAAACATGATCAATTGGAAGCAATACATTGCAGTATTGATCACCTTCTCTACTGTATGTCCACATTCTGATCAGCATGGCCAAGCCACTCTGGTCCCAAGGACATACGATGCTGTTACAGCTACAGAACTGCACACTGTGATACCAGTGAGGCAGCTGAAACAAACTCCTCCGCTCTCCAGGACCAACTGAAGCTTTAATTATTGAGGCCTCTTCTTGTGTGTTTGTGCATCTGGATTCTAGGCTCCATCGTTTTCGAGTATGCAAGTTAGTTTATGTTTATTGTGTTTTGCCTTCTTTCCTCTGCAGAACAAAGTTCAGCAGGTGTGTAAAGAAAGAAAAACAAAAAAAAAGTGTGGGAGAAAGTGACTGTGCGCATGATTTTTTATTTCTGACTGGCATCCCACAACTGGTTCAGTGTTTTACGGTTTCTAAAGAGGAGCAGTTTATGCTTGTGCTTTTCAAAATGTCACAATGTGCCTGAATCGTTCTTAAAATCTTTTGTTGGCTTTCTGTAGACAGCAAATCGTTCTCTTCAAACAATCAAACCCTTTTTTATTCTCTGTGTTTTATTAATGAGTTTCCTCTGTTATTGGTTTTGTCATGGATGTAGGTAAGCCCACAACCAGCTGACAAAGGAGAAAAAGTACCCGCTTCCCATTTAACCTCTGACATCTTCATCAATTTCTCTTCCTCTCTTTCTCAGGCCTCCTCTGCAGGGCGACGGATGTATTAATAATACCTTTTTTTAAATCTATCTTGCAGCCTTGAAACTTCACGCCTTCTCATGTTCACCACAACTCCTCTTTCTCTCTTTCCTATGACCAGGAATGTCGACTCATTAGCATGATGACCACAATGCACTGTGTTTTACAGTAGGATGGATGAAATACATTCCACTGACAGGTGGAGCGATCGCAGAGCTGTCTATGCACTTTGTCCTCTGTCATGCCAGAGGGTAGAATAGCCATATTAAGGTCCGAGTAATTCTCAGTGATTTCCCCCCCCCCCTTTTTCACACACCAGCGAGAAACTTAACTGTGTTTGGCTTTATAGAGAGACTGTGCCTGGCATGCATCATGTCTGTAGATAAAGGAAGGGAACCTAGAGCTCATATTGTAAAGAACCTGCACGGTTATGTTTGAGACCGTTTTATTCTGGAAAAATAGAGATGAAGGATGTGAATCTTTATTCTCATAAGGGGTTACATTCAAGTTTTGTTGATGCATTTGGACTGTTTTTGTCATCAGTCAGTGTATGCAGTTTGATGTATGTGTCAATGAGAGAAGTTGATTCTCTTAAAAAGGGCTTTGTCGTACCAACCCTTTGAACTGAAGCTTGCCTTATTTTAAGTTGTTTTTTAAACCGTATATTAGATCATTCCAAATTAACCTCTCACATGTAAAAATGATGGTAATGACCTCAAAAAACTTTCAACTGGAATCATTCGGAGGATGTTGCTATTTTAGAGTTAGATATGAGAGTCTCTAGTTAAATTTTTGACAGCGGGTCCAGGTTCAGAAAAAAACCTTTGTTACTGCGGAGGAAGACAAAAAAAGGACAGAGTGCAGTGTGAGTGCGTCTCTGTGGATTTGTGAGATCCAGAACAATTCCTATGTATTAATGATGTTATAAATGTATTATTTTAAATCTAAAACTATAAATATTGTACATAATTTCATTAATTTCTGTAATCTTGTACATGTGATGAAACCACCTTTCTTATTGAAGGGAGTAAATGTGTGGTACATGTTTGTAAATAATGTTTGCATAGCACTTGTTGCCTTTTGTTGTACGTCGAGGCTCATTTCAGCGCTTAAATACATTGTTTATATGTAATGAACTGATGAATCCATTCTGGCCTGCATAACTTTGTACATTTTGTGTGTCTGTAATGACATTGTCTCAATTTTGTTTTGCATTTGTACAGATGTTGAAGTATCACTGCAGTTACATTACGGTATGAAAATAAAGCACTTGTTCTGTAACAATTAACTGACGTGATTTGATGTCACTACTACTTGTACTTGAAATCTAGTGACACAAATATTTTCTGTGCAGATAACCAGACTGAAAAATATGAACTTAAGAGAGATGGATTGAATATGAGGATAACATTGGAAGAAAACATTGACATCAAACGATACGAAAACTAACATCAACCGATCAACAGTTTTCCCCCCGATGCGTGTCCTTGAGACGTAACTGCTCATTAAATAGTTAGGTGCTTTAAAGGTTTAGAATACTCATTCATTATTAAACTGTCTAGACATCTTGATAGTTGCCTGAAACAACTTGGCAGGTAACTTCAGTACACAGAAACATCTTTGTCAAAAAAAATAACCAACTTAAACTACTCAATACTGCAGCAAATCAAATACATTTTGAAACCACTACAATAGCCAAACATAATGAAATCAACAAGCATTGTGTATTGTTGCAACATGCAAAGTGGCCCCTATTCTTCAGAGATTAATTTAGTATTTTTTAGGACTTTAGTTCAGCTAATGAGAAATTAAATTGTATCAACTTTTTAAAAAATACATTGAACGCCCACAGAAGTTTAGAGAAATACTAGTTTTATTTCTGACTTTCCAATGAAATGTATTTAGGCACAGTGACCCCTGGTGGACATTTTCTAGCCCAACCAAACAGTACTTGAAGGGACAAATCCCATCCAACAATGCCCAATCTGCAACAGATGTCAATCACAAAAACACTGCAAAACTCATTGGTCTTCTCTGATCATTAAGACACTCAGCTTTAGTAAAAAATAACTTTTATTTAAAAACAATTCAGCTGTAGTTTCAAGGTGTTTCCTTTATATTTCATCATCAAGCAAGTTCTGATTGAATGAAGACTATATTTTCCTCATACAGTTAATTTCTACGATGTAAAGATGCGGGGGCCTGTGGGGACCTGGCTCCACTTTAAGACAACTTTTTCAATTTGTATCGGAGAGCAGACCAAAGTCCCACACCGAATGTAACCTGCTAAAACTAATAAAAATAAATGTTTAAAAATTCAACAAAGTGCTGATTTGCATTGGCTGAGACAATAGACAGTCTTTAAAATCAATAATCTAATATATGATCTTTTAAAGTGGAGGTGGTTTGATCAGCTGATTTAGGACCAAAACACTTCATATCCAGCCCCGTGTTGAAAGGAATCTGTCAATCATGTCGAAGGACCTCGCCGGCTGGTCGTAAGGCAGAATGTGTCCTCCTCCTCGGATGATGACCTGCGTGACAAGAAGACAGATCACAGAATATAAAACATTAGTCCCCAGAGTACATTTTCACCTTGTTTTTACAACCGTTAACAACCCACCTGGTAAAACTCTCCCACTTGTCTCACGTAACCAGCCACCTCCGTGTCGCTGGGCTGAACCTTCCAGTGGAAACGAGGTGCTGTTTTGTACTCAGCCGCCCCTCTCCAGTTGACAGTAGGCAGGAACCTCTCGGTCAGTGGCGCTGCGACAATTACATCCAGCTGACCACTGTAGATTAACACCTGGGTGTACGTAGAAATGGAGCAAACAGGAAAAGACTGTTAGAGAGGGATTGAGGTGACTTTCTAAGCATCGTCCCACTGTTGCACAGACAAAACACAGTGGATAATCCCAAAACCCTCACCCTATAGTTATCCATCAGCACCCCCAGCCACGGCTTGATGCTCTTCATGACATCCTGCACAAGGTGTTTCTCCACCTCTGAGCCATCATGGAATGTCAGGTTCCCCACATGGATGGCACGTCGCACCGCTGGCAGAGTCACAAACTGGGAGAAGTACTCCTGGTCCTCCGGCTCCTGTTGTGCCACACAGAACAAAATGTAGTGGGTTGTGCAAAGACCCGTTTCAACTAATAAGTAGTGTGTTTGTATATGAAGTTTTCAAATGTTTGCTCCAAGAGGTCACACAGGCAGCTTTGAGGCTGGTGTTTCTACGCACCTGACAGGTCATGTAGTTGTAGTAGTTAGTGCAGCCGGTAGCGTTTTGGAAGAAGGAGGGATAGGGATCCACGTCACCATTCAGCAAGCTGTCAAAAACCTGAAGTCAGACGGTAACAACACGGTCAGCTGAATGTAAAAAACGGAAATCATTGAACAATAAGAACATAATGCAAATCTAGACAACTAAAGACAAATGTGTTCTGACCAAATCAAGAGGCACCTCTTACCTGAAAAGCCTCCACCCACTTCTGCTGCTGGATGAGTTTTACCCCTAAGTCTGTCTGCTGGACGACATACTGTCTTTGGGATTCGTCTATCATGCCTGTTTGGTACATGAACTCACCATAACCACCCAGCATCTGAGATGGAAAAGAAAAAGCTTTGAAGTACTCTACTCAACTCATTTTCACATGGACAGGACTGAGACGTAGACCACTAATACTATAACAGCTGACGGGGACCAGCTAAAGAAAGAGAGAGCGAGAGCGTAATTAACTAACGTTCACAAGACATGGGACATTAATTAGTCAATATGATGAAGTTAAAAGCCTCTGAATACCCACACAGGTGGTTTTTTTAGTTAATCTGGCTGAATAGACCTCGTCTTATGACTGCGTGTAAGAACTAATGAGTGACATCTTTGAGTCTTCTGTTAGCTTTGTCAGGTCGGGAGAAACGACACCTTTATCATTCTTATTGGTAGATGAAGATTTGTAACCCAATACATTCCCATCAAAGCTCCGGCCCACCTTCAACACGAGCAGAGGTCTAATCCACCAGATTGTGGGTGTACGGAGGTTTGAAGACCATCAGAAGACAACACTTGGGTCAGATACACACCAGTTCTGGATCACAGAGCCCGTCACCAATGGCCATCCCCACGAAGTTTATTTTCACTTTGGCAGTGGGGTTGTTTTTATGGATGTAGTAAGAGATGGCAGGAACATACTTCCCTGCATAAGACTGCACGGGGACGGAGAAGGTTTACACAGATCAGGACCATATTTTAAATATGTAGAATGGTTTTTTTGGTTGTTGTTGTCAGAGACAGATGTTCTTGTTGCGGTGATAGTTTAAGGCAAACTGCTAACTTATCCAAAATGTGTTCTATAGGATTTTCTCTAATGAGTAGAAATTCCTACTAACGTATGATGTGTACAAGTTAAAAAGCCACTTGTGTAACCCCACTACTACACGTTTAGACTCGATGAATTTGCAAAACTTCAACAGAAAAGAACATACCTCTCCAGTAGCATAGAACTCATTGGACTGATACTCAGGAAACATCTGGAAGAACTGTGTTAAAGCACTTTAAAAAAAAAAAAAAAAAAGGAAGAGATGGGAATAAAAATAAATTAGTAATCAAACAGATTTATAGATCAAGTGACAAGAACACTATGTTTGAGTTGGATGGCATTTGATTTACCTGTACAGATCTCTGCCAACGTCATCCTGGTTTTGAGCAAAACCTTTGTCATCATTAGTGAAGCTGAAACCTGTTCCAACCTAGAGAAACAAATACTCTTCCTCAAAGACTTGAAAATATTAACGCACATTTAATAAAAAAGGTCAGATGAGCTGAGAAACCTTGAATGAAATGTACGCTTCATGTTATTAGTTTGTGGCTTTTTTGTCTGAGGATGAATAACTAATACGTACCGGATTGTCGATGTACAAAACGGAGTATCTCGATGTCCAAGCGTAATCCCTCAAACCAACTGCAAAGACACAAAACAGTAAACAATGCTCCAACACAGACTCAGGGCTCAAGTGTATTAGGTTAAAGAAGAATTCCGTGTATGTTTATGACATGGTAATGTAGTGACAGATCAGTTCTTACCAGTCAGGTTCTTATACACCACATATGGTCCGTGTTCCACAAAGAGACCGAACATGGAGGTTCCACCGGGCCCGCCTTGCAGCCAGAGCAGGACCGGAGCTTTATCTTGCTTTGCCTGTCACACATCAGGGCATAACACAGGAAAGTTAAGATCTCAGCACCACCCAGTGGTGACTTCAGATTCATATTTTACAATGGGGTCAGGTTTAGGTTCATCACACTGTAGACATGTGACCAACAATAAAAAAAAAAAGAAAAAGTGACTTTTAACACAAAACAAAGTTCTCATTCCCACACTGCTGCCGACTAAATGAACTGCAATTCCTTATCATAGGTTGACTGAGAGACACAGTAAGAAATACATATAAAGTTGAGTTCCAAAGGAACTAAGGACAAGAATGACTCTTTATCTCAAGATGTCTGCTTTGTCCTCCTCGTGATATTGTCCCAAAACTGCAGCACTGACAGTAATGTAGCGGTGTAGTTTGGAAAGCCTCTGCTGTAAATGAATAATCTGAGCTTACCATCAGTGCAGGGAAGAACCAAAAGAAGAGGTTGCTGTTGTATTTCTTGTTGACCGTGAGGTACCCAGCATAACTCTTGACATTGGCACCTGGCAGATCTCCAACCAGACTCAGTTTCCTGGCTGGATCAAAAAAAATACAAGATGTCTGCAATGTGCAGCTAATCATAATGAAACTATAACCATGACTCTTGCTATGCAGTACGGCCGTATAGTAGTGTGGGTGCACTTATACCTTCATCTATGGCGCCCTTCTCCAGGTACGGAGTGAGGAAGAGAGGGGACCCGGGATCGACTCCATTCAGGCCGCTGACACGGTGAGATTTTCGGCAGAAAAAAGAGGACGAGCAGCTCCGTGAGTGTGCCGAGTCCAGACAGGCCCAGAGAAAGAGGAAGCCCAGAGTTTCCATCCACAGCCTGCGTTTACAACAATGCATATCAGAATACAGGCCAGGGCAGTCACGTGTGAAGCTCCAACGCTGCGAGTCACATTCCAAAACAGTCCTGACCACAAAAACACACTTTATATTTGTTAAACTTACCTCATTTTAACGGTCGTTTCTATAACTGGATCGATATCAGCTGTTAGTCAGAGCGACGTCTTTCATTATGTCAGCAGCAGGGTGGACTGAGTCACATGACCAGCTCTGGGTAAGTCATATGACACATATTAGGTCACGTGGTCGTTGTTGTTGTTGTACATTGGCGTTTAGGACCTCAACGCGGTCTTGCAGGAAACTTCCGGCGTATAAACGAAGTTGCCTTTGAAAATCTGAAGGTTTTTTGTGTACATCTGCTGAACACATCCCTGTTTCAAAGAAGGCTGGTCTCAGTTGGTAAGTAAGCTGTTTTTTTTAACTGTTTGTTTAAAGCGGTTCAAGCTAACGTTAAGTGTTGTACAACTAAAGCTAGAAGACAAACAAATGGGATAACAAGTAACAAGCTTAAGACTGCTATCGTTACGTTATAATTTATTATTGCGTTATTGTGTATATTGTACCAGAACTGGGACACTACATGACTGGTTTCAAAAACTAGAGAATAAATAGTTAGGTTAAGACTCCAGGGCTGACTGTGATAGGCCGGGACACCTGTCAGTCAACCAAGCCATCCCCAGTGTAAAAACAACTTTAAACTTAAAAAATGTCCTCAATGGAAAATTGATTCTCAACATTGGCACACAATTAAAGTTGCATTTTGTGTACCATACCTGCCCAGCAGCAGATGACAGACAGAGGTTAGCTGGTGAAGACCAAACCAGAGAAAAAGACAGCTGGGTAATGTATTTGGATTCATCAGGTCGACAGAAACACAACTCCATATGGGATAATAATCCATGACTGCCGAGTGTGTAAATTGATAATTGTTTAGCTGAGTTAACTCAAATGTTTTTTGTATAAATGCTTGGATTTTTTAAAGCTGCAGTTGTTCATGTCTGGCCACTAGGGGGCGGAATAACTCCAAAATAAGCTGAGTGCGGTGATGACAGACAGTGCACACTGGAAATGAAGCTACTCACAGCTGGAGAGAAGATGGACTGTGACAGCTCATGTGAGCAGGTGAGGAGGTGGTGAGTGCAACAGACTTACACAGCTGTGTATAAATAGCTGGTCTCACTTAATTCTGTCTTGGTGGCAATTTGAAAAGATAGTGTTCTTCAAGCTTATTTTATTTTTGATAACATATAGCCGCTTACATTTTAGTTGCACATACATTCTTTAGCCTGTGTGATCCCAGGGAGAAGTGTGGAAAGCAGCCCCACCAGGTGGCGCTAAAGCACTGACGTCATTCTGTCTGTTTCAACATAACATGCCATCTGATGAAAGCTGCTGTGGTTCAGATAGTTGGGTCTTTGCACGAATCTCGGATTCACCTTTTTGTTTCAACACAAAAAGTAACATTTGCTTTGGATTCTGCAAACAGACCTGAAGTCTTTTGTGTTTTTGGGGCTTTTTTTTTTTTTTTTTGCTTACATCTGGCAGCCCCGCTCCAAACTTTCACTTTAAGAAGGCGCGTCTACGCTGCAGCGTATATTACAATCCTTAAAGCGGCACATGGAAACCATAGCTGCATTTCTGCATGACACACATCTAGACCTGCAGGCTGTCCGGTGCGAGTAAATGCTCTGGAGAAAAACTGATCCACGGTGTGTATTCCTGTGGCTTTGACTGAGTGTGTTTTTTATATCAGTGGCGCGGCACAGCACCTTCAGTGAATGCGGCAGCGGGAGCTCCTCGCCGAGGCTCGCAGCGAGCCGAGAGAGGAAGGATCGGCGGATTCAAGACGAGACGGGGTGGTGGGCTCTGGTCGAGACGAGACATGAAATAGTCACCGGGAGAGAGCCGTCAAAGGTGAAGCACGTTGGGGCGTGAGTGAAATGGAGGCACCGCCGGGGACGAGCTGCTGTGAGCGCACCGTGGCCAACCGGGAGTAACCGAGCCGAGAAACGGGGCTGTGGGATGGCAGCATCCAGCAACTCAAGCCTCTCAGGTTCATCTCTGTCCTCCGGTAAGCGTTAAAATAACCCACACTCTAAAATAGACACGTGTCACGTGAGATATAAGATCATAAAATAGGCTTATTATAATAATATGACATTTCTTCGTTCATATCTTTGGTTGTCCGTGTACTTTGACATATTTGCCTTCAATCCAACTTTTTGTCATTATCTTGCTTAAAGCCACCCCTAACATGTGCACCAGCAAAATGTGACATTCTCTTATTTCTCCATCTCACACGTGCGTGGTAAGCAATAAACAAACACATTATTAAAGCAGCTGTGATTTAAGATTACCGTTATATCTGGGTTCAGAGGGGGAAACATCAGAGGGAAAGGACACCTTTCATGTGCAGAGGGGTTGAGATGCAGCCAGTATGACGTTGGGTTTGAATGTTATCATTAGATCCCATAATTCCCTTATTGACTTTCCACTCGGCTGATTGTTCGGATCATCTCTGGCCTGTGTAGTCCAGCATTTTCCCAAATGCATCACCAGGCTGGGTCATTGTCTCATTGTATCCAAAATCCTAACATGAGTGACATCATACAGTTCATACTGCCACAGTGTTCACAAAACTACAAATCAAATCATATCATTTGGTGTAGCTCAGCACCTATTATATATTTGTAAAAATTACAAATGTCTGGGTTGAATTTTCCCTGACTGAGAACAGAACGTGGATCAGCCGCTGGTCAAACAAACCCAGAAGGAAATGAAATAGCAGTTCCACGCTTGTCCCATTGTCTATCCCTTTCTGTGTTGATAAAGCACATTGCTCATGTTTGCCAGGGTATAAAGTACAAACTCCACTATCACAGCACTGTTTGATGTGGCAGCCCCGCCAACAACCAGAGGCGTGTGTGTGTGTGTGTGTGTGTGTGAGAGAGAGACAAGGGGAGGGAGAAACTGTTTATAATACCCGGCTCAGCACTTCTGTGTATGTTTGCCGTTTCCACCAATATTTGATATTTTACTGCAAAGAGTCTACACTACAAAATGTGCAGCGATACTTTTACCGCCTACACACAAAAAAAAAAAGTAAACTGAACATCGCACGGCAAAGCTATAGGTTTATTACAGGGTGAGGACATTGTATAGTATACATATTATTATTTGTTTAACTTTCTTGCTCTCTCTGCACCCCAACCACACCACAAAGCAGAGTCACATTTCTCTGAGTATTCTCTAGGGACAGACCATCGCTTCCAAGTTGATATAGCCTGCGGCAACCGCACGCTTCCCAGAGCATTATCTCATGTGTGCGTTTCAGAAAGCGGTGGATTTACTGTTTGACCACGGCTGCTTTAAGAGGAAAGTCTTTTCTCTCTGTGGCAGTGGAGGGTTGTCATTACTTCTGGGCTCTCAATATAATTATCAGAGGTTACAAGCTGCGCTGCTGCCAGGGATAGAGTGGTTGTTACAAGGGTATTATTATTTTCATGCGGAGCTCTTTGGCAGTCAGACACAACATTTGAATAATCTTGTCTATGAGGCATATGACTCCGAAAATGAATCTTGGCTCAATTTCTGCTCCATATTAGGGTCGTCAGTCCTGGCTGCAAACAAAGCGCTGTGGGTGCAGTTATTTCAGCTGCTTCTGATGATAAGTCTATCTAGTAATCTTGTTTGGAGGCTGTTGTTTGGGGCCGAGTGTGTACATAAAGTTAATCCAACTTGTGTCGCTGATGGCAGCTTTATGTGCTGATTATTGACCTTTGATAGCGCCAACAGTAATTGTATTATGTGAGCCGACATTGATTTATTTCTGTACTTCCTGCAAATTATTGAAATGAAGGAACATGAGATGATGGGGTTTTTTTGTAGGCCAACCCTGAAGTTGAAACCAATGGGATTTTTCCATTTTGGATTATTGCAGAAAATAAGCTCGGTGGCAAACCATCGTTATGATAATACACGTTTTACATGTTCAGCAAAAAGCTAACGTTAGGCTGTAAATGAACTACACCAGGGTCGCATACAAGAGGCTGTGAAGGCGGACTAGCCGGCGTGATGACGTCTCATTTAGCCACTTGTTAGTAACCGCCCTTTTTAAAAACACGTAAAAGCTTCAAAATGTTTATATATTGTAAAAGGAAACGTTAAAATCTTCGAAGCTTGTGTTAACCACAGGCCTTATTTCAGGCAGCTAACCAAAAAACCTGTTAAAAACACCCATTGAGACGAGGAAACCAGAAGTGCAAAAATGCAAACTCATTTCTGGGTTTTGCGACTCATTCCTGCACCCCCTCTATACACAGGTGCACAATAGATGTACTCGCAATTAAACAAGATAACTGACAAACTGAAAGGATTGCAATGCGATTGCAGCACATATGTTGCAATCTCTTCCTTTCTCTGGAAAGCTATTTTCTGTTCAGGGAGATTCCTACACATTCTTGGCACGGGTGGACATTGAAGCATGTACCGTACCAGCAGCACACCCTTTTCCAGAAGGCTCCAGGAAATAAAACTTTGAAAATAAATTGAGGGATAGAGCATGAAAGCATTCCTTGAGCTCTCGGCCTTAAATGACAAAATTGGTCAGGGAGGCAGAATTACAGCCATGTATTACAGAGAAGCTGTCTGCTCGACACGATCCTGCACGTGTGTCGGGCAAATGCTGCAGTTCACCTCCAAATCTTTCCACCACATCTATTTCTTGTCCTAACCAGTATCATCATGTCGGACTGGATTTGTGTCGCGTACGCTGACTGACTAAGATGATCTGCGTGTTTTGCAGCATCAGCGAGGGAGGGAGGGGGGGGGGTCGTCCCCCAAGTATTTAATTTCTGGTTTAGCATATCCCTGTAGTCAATCCTGTATTAATTACATCAATAGACTCTAAGTGTCGTGTTGAGAGAAGAACATACAGTTTCCCAGTAGCACACAAACACACTGCAGATAGGCACACTTATACCTGTACCATATTATCTGGTCAGCAGTAAGGCAGTGTTGAAATGCTTGTTTTGGAAAAGTGTAACACACAGATGGTGTCTCTGCTGCAGCTCTGCTGCATCCCACTGACTCTATAGTGTGTGTGTGTGTGTGTGTGTGTGTGTGTGTGTGTGTGTGTGTGTGTGTGTGTGTGTGTCTGAGTACTCCAGAATGTGTTGCTTCTGTATGTCATTTAAATATGTGAAAAATACTGGCAATACATTACAGGCTTTAAAATATAAATGTCTGTACATCTATTTTGTTTCTCTTTTAATCAAGGGTCAATTAAGTTATTATTTTGAATTATGTTTTTGTCTATAAGTCTGACGAATAGCCAATTCAAGTCTTACTTCTTTACTTCCCGAACCAAGCTTGATCCCACTGTCAGAATGGATCCTCCTAACTCTGAATCTCCCCTCTGGGGATCAATAACGGCTTATCTTATCCTTCCAGGACATCAAAGTATTGAAAATGCGACGACAAGAAGTAAGGTGCTCATAACATTCCAGAGATGAGACTGTGTGGAGTCATCTAAAATCCTCCAGCTAGCCTAATATTCTAGCTCTAGAGAAATGCTTTTAATCAACACAGTACAAATGCTGGGATGAAATATGTGGCCGTGGTGCACTGTGTCTATACCAACGTATTACGTCATCATTATCCTCAATGCTCAGTCAGGGTCACTATAACAATGACCCTCAGGGTCACCAGAAGAGATGGGGTCACAGAGGATGTCACAATGGCCCGGCACAACAGACTGGAGGTCCACCAAAACAAACAAAAGACCACCAACACCAACATAGAGGAGCAGCTGCATGTACGTTTATTCATAAGGAGACTCCTTTCCACGAGTGTAATGCTAACAAGGTGATCGTGAAAACAGTCCTGATTTAAGACGCCTGCGATTCATTTCAGACCTCTTGTGTTAAGCTGCCAGGTTAGATGTGTTGCCAGTATCTTGCAATTAGACAGCATAGAAGATATGGTGCACTGAGCTGTGTGTGTTTGCAGACGGACCTTGAAGTCACAGCTAGTATTAATTAGTGACCGGCAAAGGGAGGAGAGGATAGATGATTTAGCGCTGTGAGTCCAGCATACATTTGCTTCTACTGGCAGAGGATTCTAAGTGTTGAGAAACAGAACACATCTCAAATGCACAAAGAGTGATACTATTTCTGTCTGTAGAGTGTTCAAAGACTATTTGCTCATTAACTGTGATGAATCTATCCTGGTCGTTTCCATCTTTTTAGAAATAGTTTGAGCTCCTCTCTCTTTGGCATAATCCAGGTTGTTGGAAAGAGAAATTCCTGTCTCGTACTCCAAAATCCTGTCCCATGGTGCATCAGTGGGCCAAGCTTCCTGGTTCTCAGGTCCAAACCCTGAAGACCATTCTTTGTTATGGGGGTATGTTTACCTGGCTGTAAAGAAACAGGCACTTCTGCTTGCCTGACAAAACAGACGTTAAATATACAATATAAAACACTATCTATATTGTTGTGAGGATAAGGCAAGTGAAAGATGATCGGCTCCATATTAACTCTGTGTAAATAGTCAATTACATTATTTCTGCGGGTATTTCTTGTTGTTGTAGGTATTTTACATTCAGGCAAGGCTACAGCTGAATACGCAGTTTTTAAGTCAATATAAAGCTACTCTATTGGTTGTGTCGACATCTTTATGTCTTCTGTTGACATCTGCCTTTTTTTCTTTACTAATATGGGTGATATTGAACACGACCCTCAGGTCATAAAAGGCTCTAAACCTGTTGTCATCCACAAGTTATTGTTTTATGTGCTGACGTAGATTTATATTTATATACTTCTTTTTGCACGTGCACAGACTCCAGAGCAGACGTTATCTCAGGGGATGAACGCTTGATCTTCATTCATCACATATTCTCTTTGTCACCCAAGCAAATACCCGTCGGTAATTATTTTATCGAATGCCTCTGACTGGAGAGTAATGGAGGGCAACACAATTAATAGCTGTGTCTTTGGGCGGAAAAATCCCTTTGGCTGCTCCAGAATTTTAAATTCTCCCTGATCATCAGCCACCGCACAAACTCTGAGCTGCTTAGAAATTCTGTTTGATGTTCTTTTCCTGCTTGTGTGCGCATATGTGTCTGTATTTGTTTGAGAGCGGGTACATACAGTGTAGCTGGTGTTTGCATCAGAATCGACCCCTGAAGAGCCCCCTTTTTTTCCGAGCCGAAGCTGCTGCTGAGCTCCGGACTGAAATGCCGTTCTTCATCACAACGAATCAGATTGAAAAGCGAGTATTTGGCAGCCGACCAGATGAAATCACATTCTTTAAACAAGCCGCAGTGGAATAAATCTTTCAGACTGTTGCGGGTGCAATACACAGTGACAAAGCCTTCAGCGTTGGGACAATACATTCTCCGAGGCAGCTTGGCCACACATCACATCGCATTTGAAGGCAGACGTTCTGTGGAGGGCTTTAGCAACATCGTTTACTCTCACAACATCCACCTCTTAAGTCAAGCTGCTTTTTTTTCAGAATTTGCATAATTATTCATCATTTGATCATATGCACCTCTCTTGTCTTTCCTGTGTAATAAATCCATCTCTTTCCAAAGTAACAGGACTATTACGATGAGAAGCGACGACGAGCATTTGGTGTGTTTTGATAATGTTGCAACCGGCCTCCTGCTGCAGTCAGCAGAGAAAACTGCATGAAGGGAAATGCTCTTTAAGTGCCGTCACTTATACGGATAAATATAGCACGAGAATATACAGTGACTCTCAGAGAACTAGCAGGACGGTTTTTAACATTGATGCCAAATATGTGAGTAAGTTTGCTGCCCTTACGTCAGTGCAGACGTCTAACAAGTGCTCACTGGTTTTCATGCCCTCTCATGCGTGTTTTTTTTTTTTTTACTTCTCTCAGAGGGGTGTGGTGTTGATCTGCTGATGAGTGCAAAGGAATGTTTTAAATGAGCGACATGTATCTTCTGGACCAACATGATTCATTATCCACACAGTCGATTGAGTCCTTCAGCAGTGGGGCTGGGAGTGTAGTGAGAGATATTGCACTAAACTGAGGGGCAGATTAATCATTTATTGTCAGCTATCTTGTGCATTTGGCATTTAGTGTCATCCGCCTATGTGATAGCTATAGACCAGCATGTTTGATACCGTATGAGTGTCTCACTGTGTGAACATAGGCCGTGCAGTAACGTGCCTATGGGTCAACGGCATCAAACGATAACCAGCATGTTATGGAGTTGCTGTGGTGAGAGATGTAGTTAAATGTTTTGTCAACATCATTATTATATTATGAGTAATAAATATGCTAGCCAGGCACTTTATTACAGTACTGGCAGTGTAGTACGGTAGCAAATTGTGCAACATTTTTGACTCGTTCAGTGACGCATTTTATTACAAGTCATTACTTTTATCATTTGCTACAGGACGTTTACTTCATCACCTCTCTACCTCTTTTCATGCTAATATAATAGCACCATCATATATTTCAGCAATGTGTTCACATAATCATAACTCAGCCACCATGTTTCACAGAGGAACCTCTTCCCGTGGGTTGTGAGATGTAAATTGTATTTACTTACATTTCGATTGGTGTGTTTGTATTCCCGTGTTTTTCGGCCGGTGGGTAATATAGATCAGCTGTTTTCCTCCTCGGTGTTTAGTGAAACACACAGGCGTCTGTATTGATTGTCCTTGAAGCAGACACACTGATTAGAAGTGCATTCACTGGTGCATCTCAAGAGGCAGCTGCACAGTGTGAAGGAAGCCATATGCATAATTATACCAGAGAGATAAACAACAGTGACATAATCATGGCGGAGGGCTCACAGTCAGTCCACTGGGAAAGGTTTAGAAATGGAGATTTTAATGCAACAGACAACAGGGCACGCACTATTCACACCACTGCGAGTTAATAACAGAAACCTGCTTTATTTTTTGTCTTTTACAGACCCTGAGGATTACCAACCGCCCATATGGAAGTCCTACTGTGAGTAATTCATTCATTTCATATGCTGATTAGCAATGTTTTTGACTGACTTGACCTGACTTTGGCCTTTGGTGTGTTTCTTTATTAAATAACGGCACGTTTATTTGTGATCTATAAATAACAAAGAGACATTTTTCTATACCTGGAAGAATTAGGTTTTGTTGTATATAGTACAATTAGATACACTGCAGGTTCCAAAAGGCGCACACACACACACACACACACACACACACACAAAAGACACACTCAAACACACTCGCCTACACAACACAAGCACAAATGCAAAGCAGCGGATTGCTGATCTCAGAGTAAAATAGGTTACCATCATCCAGGGAAAATACGGTTTTCTACCTGCAAATAGGCTCAGCTGAAATAGGGTCCTCGGGACACCCACTTCATTATACAGTGTTATTGCCAAGTGGGTGGAAATGTGTAAATATGTGGTGCATTTGTCGAAGCAGAGCACAAATACTTTCAGCTTAACACTGCGTCTGTCCTTACACTGATTACAGTTCAACCAATTACGATTTAAAGCGTTTATAAACATTTTCCTGTAATTAAATGTCTCTTCCGTATAATTTTCCGACAATGCCGGGTTTCTGAAGTCTCCCATCTTCTCCTGACTCCTCCGGTCCTCTGCTGAGGTATTTTTAGAGCTCGCTGTGTCACAGCAATGGATGATGTCCAGATCTCGCTGGTTGGCTTAAGTCAGCCTGACAAAACATGAACATTCACAGTCAGGAGTCTTCCTTCCCCAGCCCGGAGAATCTGCTGCAGAGAAGACTTAGCTCAACCTCACACAGCGATTTCTTTGCTGTAATACCGGAGCGGTTGTTAGAAATGAGGACACTGGTCTTCATCCACCTTTCACAGGGTTCTAGACTGCCACGTTTCTCTCATGCCCCATCTAGCAAGTGCATTAAAGTTTAAAACAACAAAGACGGTTAATATGGCAGGATTTTTATGTAGTCTCATTTGGAAATGTGGCAGTTTGTCAGACAAAAGAGTTTAAGTTCTAGACGGATGGATTAAAAATTGGATACAAAGAAAGGAAGCTCACTCAGCTACATATTCTTTTCAATACGTTAAGTACATCGAATACAGAGAAGCATGGGTTTGCAGCATGTGTGTATTTGAAGTATTTGGGTTTTCCAGTATTGTGCACAACAATAGGTCTTAATTCACACAGATGGATTGAAGATACATGGCTCCTGTCATGTAAACCACCGACTGCTTAGCGTTGCATATATGAGCTAATGGCTCCTGTGGTACCTTGTTACCTTTGCACTGAGTCACAGCTGCAGACAGGAGCCAGACTAAAGGCTGTTAAGTGCATATATTGTTTGATGTCTGGTGGCTGAAAGCTGCACTACATCATTTAGTTTCCTGTTATTTTGGTAACAAATCTACAAAATGCATGTAATTACAACTTGTACTGAGCTGTGTGCATAGCTCAGAGGGGCAGAGGGCCTTAATTAACATACATGTGTTTCTCTAACAGTGTACCAACTACAGCAGGAAGCCCCGAGGCCAAAGAGGCTCACGTGTCCTCAGGAGGTCAGTACATCTGTAAATCTGTTTACAATAGGCTCCTGTCTTGGGCTTAATGGATTGGTTTTATATTTTTATTAACCATTTACTTTGTAAAATATGAGTAAATAATAGCAAATGCCACATTCTCAGAAACCAACTGGGGGTTTATGAAATCAGCATAGAAAACCTGTAATAATCACAACAGCGGCTGTTTGGTATTTTACTGTCAATGGCTCATTGATTAACTGAGTAATTCTCTCAGCATTACTCTATGTGGTTAAAATGAAATATACACATTTAAAAAATCACAATAATATTTATATTTCATGATTCATACAAAAAGATGTGATGCAATGTCGTATGACAATAAACTACTAAGGTTCAAACTGAACCACCTTATTTCTAAGAGTTTTTTTATTTCCTTTACAGCTGACAGCCATACAGCCACACTGCACCTTACAAACTCAGTGTTCACTCTCCAGTTGTAGGCTGGAAGTATTCACTGAGACATGATCGAGTCTAGCAGCGGGTAGCCAGACCAATCGGTAACCTACGGGGATTGACTCGCGGCTTCTTGAAACTCCCACACCTCATAAGTAACTCAAACGCTGATCCTCCAACTGCATGGCTTATTCTTTGCCTTTAGGAAATGTATTTAATGCTGCCTGAAGGACATAACTGCTGATCATCTGTTATGTAGCGAGCACATTTCAACCTAAAAGATTTAGAAGATAGGATCACAACTAATAGGACTAACTCCAGATGATATCCACTTGATTTGTCGACGCAGACAGCTGAAACCTCTTCATAGCTTCTGATAAACGTTGGAACACATTTTTGCACAGAAAGAGGATCTGATGTCCCCCATCACTTACGTTGGAAGCGCAACAGGAAGGGATCGAGAGGGACTGATTAGAGCAAGAAAAACCCTGTTTCAATGTTCATATGGGCACCTGACTATCGTTTTAGGAGTAGCAAGTAGAGTAACTCATTGCAAGCATAGACTTTATTCCCTGAGCTATGTGAATAAAGCTAAGGAACAAGTTACGATACTTGTTACTGCCCTCACTGAGAGAACTGTCGAGCTTCTGTTGTACCAGAAATGATGCATGTCTCATCCTATTTCGAGTCTTGCCACGCTGTGATGAGCAAAGTGAAAGTTGTGGGCCGGCTGTGTGAGATTACTGGCTACCCGTTAAATCAAAGCGCAAAATGATGTTCGACATATTACCAAATCCACTGTGATCATAGCTTTGAGTTTTAAAAGAGATTCTGCACTATCATCTGTAAGCGGATGTGGATAAAAACATGTTTGATGTTTGTGTAAGATGAGATCTTTGTTTTGTCCTTTGATGCAGACACACTACACACCCTGGCGTGACACAGTAACACACTAAATATTAATTCTTTGCAGCTGGCCGTCTATCACCAGCTGTTTTATTGCACTGCCTCTAATTCATCTCCACACTCTGTGATTTGGCTTTACGGTGTGGTAGCTGCGAATAGACGCGGGGGCACACATGGAGATAATCTGTCCTCTGGTGTGTAGTCCTTTATCTTTCAGACAGGCTGCAAGAACAATTCGCAAAGCCATTTAATTGAGCTTTCATATCGTATTGCTCCAGCCAATATGTCTCCTTGTTCTTCTTCTTCTTCTTTACAGATGGAAAACAGACCCAAATACTACGGCAGAGAGTGAGTGTGACTTCATTACTCCCATTGTTTGTTTTTTTTGCCTTTTTTTCCAAATATTGCTGTGTGCAGAGGATAGTTTTCTTTATCATGACTTCCTTGCATTCGATGTGGTTTGGGTTTAAGTGGTTGGATGTGTAATGTGTGTGTATGTGTTTCTCTTCTATGTATTTGAGTATGAAATCACATTGGAGGAAGAGTTATACTTTTTTTTTTTTTTTTTACAGATTTCATGGCATGATCTCTCGGGAATATGCAGATGAGCTTCTGGCGGGAGCAGAGGGTGCTTACCTCATCAGGGAAAGCCAAAGACAGCCAGGAACTCACACCTTGGCCTTAAGGTACCAAAACCATCAGTATGCAGCACAGAATCCCCCGAAAGGTCGGCCATATCAGTCCTCGCTGAGTCGCCACCTTTTGTCTCTTTTTTTCATCCACTCAACCGATTCCACCTCTGCTCCCGTCTCCGTCTTCATGTATCTCAATCCAGGTTTGGGCACCAGACCCTCAACTACAGACTGTTTTATGACGGGAAGCACTTTGTCGGGGAGAAGAGGTTTGAGTCGGTCCATGACCTTGTGACGGATGCCCTCATCACTCTCTACATCGAGACCAAGGCGGCGGAGTACATCGCCAAAATGACCACCAACCCCATCTACGAGCATCTCGGTTACACCTCGTTGCTCAAGGACAAGATGGTGCACAGGCTGAGCCGTGGACACACAGAACCACGCAGGGTCACCTTCCAGAGAGATGAAAAGGTGAGTTTTATGACCGATCGTGGAAGTGTACCGTCCTTTTGTGTGCAGTAGAGAGGCTATTTGAAAGGTTCAGAGTTAAAGTATCTACCTAGCAAGATACTGCTTCACAGATGCTGTTGTGTAGCCGACCTACTGTCTTATCTAGAGTCCAAATGATGACTCAAGGAATTGAAAGAGCTATAATCAAATAGCTTAACCTAGCATACTTGAAACAGGGAAACGGCGTGTCTGCTTCTGTATAAAGGTAACAAGATATACGTACCAGCACCTCTAGGGATGATTAATTAAAATGATATATGTTTATTTGTTTAATCCCTATAAAATATGTTAAAACAACATTCTTGGCCGGGATCAGTAACTTCAAATTGCTATCAAAATCCCCTCGATAAAGACTCTGGTTACTTACAGTCCAGTAATGTGTGTGTGTGTGTGTGTGTGTGTGTATGTGTATGTATATATGTATATATGTATATATATGTGTATATATGTATATGTATATATATATATGTATATATATATATATATATGTGTATATATATATATATGTATATATATATAAAATTAGTTTTTTCTGAAGCAATATATCTTATTTAGAACAATCGTCACACTTCATCATCTCAGTACATGCAAATGATCCGGTACATTTACTTCCATGCTTCTGAACATCACCAGTACATCTCCAGTAGGATGAGAGTGCTACTGAGAGGACACTTTGTCCAGTGAATGAGACTTACATTATCCCTGTAGCCCCTGGCTGTGTTCACTGCTGCCATGCCTCGTTGCGTCTACTGAGAGGTAATGATGACCAAGGGGACTGGGACTTTGCTCAGCCTGCCACGCGTATCAGACACACTGATCTTGGGTGAGACAAATTGCACATTGTATGCATTGGCACTCGTGAGCTGTTGTCAGATTAAAGTCTGTGAATGATTTACCAGTGAGGAACGAGGAACGTCTGTTTTCTTACCGGGGCAGAATCCAAACTATCCTTCCACTAGGTGGCAATCTTAACTCGTTTCCTCCTCTATTTCTGGGCCGATGGTGGAACTAAGATTCACACCCGGCTCTTTTTATCAACATATACTGATATTTTCTTCTTCTTTCTTCTGATGGATCCTTCTTGTGTCTCTCAGCTTGAAGACCAGGTTTTTTTTTCTTTGAGGATTCGTTGTCTTTAAGATGTCAGCCTACATGCCACTACCAACCTCTAGGAAGCCACTTGGAGCAGTGGACTGCCATCACAAATGCTCTAAGACACACAGACTAACCCATGTTTGCTTAACACAGTGCTTTCCTGAACAGTGTCCAGCGCTGTTGCATTCTGTTCGAGTTGCAGCGATACTGTTTGTAAATGCGTGGACTGCAGCCTCCAATTAAGCTCCACTAGGCGAGTAAATCTGGAGCACGTCTAAATGTCACATGGTCAGTTATCTCTGCGCATTTTTGTAAAGCTGACTTAATTTTTCTCCTGCCAAGTTTGATACACAAGGATCGGAGTCGGTGACGGCTCTGATGACGGCAGGCTTCGTCAGACAGCGTTTGAAAAACCACCTGCCAGTCAAAGGAGGAGAAGTGTTTTCTGTCTGCTCCAATATTACGTGTCCAAGAAGCAGAGACCTGGCCCGAAGGCTCCAATCTGTGGTGTCTTTTTGAACTTCATGTTTACCAATTACACAGCCACGCCCTGAGGCGTTACAGCCACAGGGGCTTCACTGTATGGCGAACGCTCACGTGTATTTACTCGGTGTAAGGTTGATACCGCCATATTGCTGTGACTGCAAAATTCCTGTGTAATTAAAATGCTCCCAGAAGGTGAGGTGGTCGGGTGGGGGGGTGCGACTGCGACTCAACCTGTAGATCAACCTCCTGAATTTCGTTCTCTTTGCATTGGAAAGAATTTCCTAAGTGGCCAAAACCTCTGCCACATTTCTCCTGATACTCACCACACTGGTTTAATCTCACGCTAAAAAAAAAGAAGCCATTTACGTGTTTTAGTTTTAAAATGTATAAATGCTCCTCGCACAGCATTGTAAGTGTACATTTGCAGACTTTTCAAATGCAGACACAGAAAAATAGACCAATCTTCAGTGTTCCCACTAAAGACAAAAGTGGCAGTTTCTTACAATTTTGAATATTGGCCGATATCTTTGACTGCTTCTACCCGTCACAGACTGTCTTCTTTCCTCTTTGTCAGAGATGTTGTTAGGGCTGTTTTGTCTGGGATGTGGGTAGTTGTATCCTGTTGTCATACTCTGTCGGTGCCCACTGTGCCGTTTTCCCCATGATTCCATGTACTCTATGGTCACAACAGAGTCCGCTCAGCTGTGCTCTCACAAAGCCCTGCAGGAATAAAAGAGCCAAGCCACTGAAAAGAAAGCGGAGCTTGTTGTGTGACCACCTTTTGTGTCCTTTCTGCCGAGCTCTTCTTTAAGAGACAAGAAGCCATCTGCCCCGCAGACAAAGAGTGCAGCCCCTCGTCCTCCCTCCCTCCAACCTCGCAAGGCTAAAATATCTCTGCGTGGTCTATTCCTCATCTGTCCCCTCGGACTTAGCTGTAGAGCTGAGTTGTATAGCGTGGTATGTCTAGGTCTTTTCAAGGAATGCCAACCACAATGACAAAAATCTTCACCTGTCCTGTCGCTCTTTCAGCTATCGGCTATCAACTGTTGCCTCCAGACACCAGAGACAAAAAGAAATAGCTGGTACACAAAATGGCCACAGCATTTTTTTGACTTTGCTCCTGCGTCTGTAAGCTGCCAATCCTTTTCATTTTATCTCAGCTTTGCAGTTGCCCTTTTGGGTCTTTTGCTCTCCGCCTTCGCACTCTGCTTTTGCGCCGGCTCTTTATCATCACAAATCCAATGCTTACTGACTTCCTGACTCGTCCTCCCTGTTTAATTAATTAGTTCAACCTTTTTTTTCTCTCGTCATGTCTTCCCATGTTCAGGTTTAGCTGATCTGTAAAATAGCTCGTTTGGCATAAAGTCTTGCAGATGCTTGTTATTTGACATGTAGTTTGCACTGCTGGCCTTCTGGTGCCTTCTGGTGCCGTTTACTGGTTGTTTACAAGCTAATAGGGACAAATTCATCACGAACATAGCAGCAGCAGCCTCCCCCCACGGCCAAAATACTATTTGGCTGCAGACCTGCAAATGAGCCTGCTGTGGGATTTTACTTGGATTTTGGGCACTGCCGGATTATTCCCTGTGTAAGGATTATGGCAGTAATCCCTCCCAATCCCAGTTGATGGTCTGGCTCTGCTGGTCCGAGAGGAATGATTGTGATTGGCGGGAGTAGTCTGCAGTCAGAGTGTCTGGGAGACCCAGTCTGGACAGCAGAGTGGGGAATTCCACCAGCCAACTGACACAGCCGGAGGTCAAGATCTGTTTGAGTTACGAGGACACAGCCCCGGCTCTGTCAGACCAGAGAGTCTTTGGTCAGTCTTTGAGCAGTCGACTGGCCTGTTTAGAAGACCCAGCACTGACTGGGAGCCGCTGGCAGTTCAGTATTATCTCCAGTGGAGTGGCGTGTGTCCGCAAGGCAGCGTGCTAATGGGTGTGCGCTCTGTGCTATAAAGAGGGCATCTGCACTATTGATCCTGCTTTACAGAGCATTTGCCTCACTCTCATACTCCTGGCCCCTCCCTATCAGAGACCCTGTTCTCTCCCTCTTTCCTTTCTGGGTGTGTGAAAGAGGGCCATTGTGTGAGGCACACTCCTGCCCTCAGGCCGCCCACTATACCGACCCCGTTCCCTCTGCTCTTCTCGCTCGCTGCTACCACTGGAATCAGACCAGATGCAGAGTCAACCCCGTGTTGGCCGTCGTCAGTCGCCCTCCTGGGTCAGAGGGGAGTGGAGTGTAGCTGCCACCTCTGCGCTGGGCTGTTGCCGGCAACGTCTGCTGCACAGCACCCACGTCTCCCCCGAACATCTTTCCCCAGAGGAGCTGGAGAGTCTGTGGGAACCCGACCAGGCCAACATGGACGCTGAAGAAAACAGAGGAGGGGAGTTGATCACCCACAAGGCTAAAAGACATGAGAGGAAGCGTCAGGAGCTGCTGGCGTTGGCTCTGGGAGTCAAACTGGGGAGCAAGGGAACACTTCTGTGGAAGCCTATTAAACTGTTGGCCTCCTGTCCACAGATATCCTCACCTCTGGTGCGACGGAGTGCCTTGAAAGAAACACCGGAGAAGCAGTGCTTCTACGAGAAGATACACAATTTCAAGGTGAGCAGGTTTTTGTTAAGAACAGTTTGATGGCTGCAGACAACTTGATATTTATTCATATATATATATATATATATATATATATATATATATTTTTCCCCCCTAAAGAACGAATACATTTTCAGCCGTTTTCTATTAGCTCTCACTGTTTGTTTGTTTTTGCAGTGGTTAAGTAATCCCTATGACAGACGCATTTACAGATGTGTCTTTGCCTGCCTCGGATGTCTGCTCGTCCCATCATTGACCGTCGTGTATGTTGCTGTTTTAATGACAACACATGCAGCTGACACCCATATGCACTGAGGGGAACTAATGGATACACTTTACTGCAAGCCATTAGCAGAGCACATTGATTGGCATTGATTTTAAAGCTCTCTGATCCCTTTTATGTTTTAGGCTGCTGATTTTGTAAAATAAAACAGTTATAGAGTTGAAAAGTATTGTAAAGTCCTCCACTCAGTCAGAGCGTAAGTGCATGTAGTACATTGTGGAAAGCAGAAAAGAGGTTATGGTTTTTTAGATACACAAAGGAGAATTTACTTTGCCTCTTGGCGACTCAACATTCTTGCAATTGTATCTTGGGTTTCAGTGAACAGGCAGGTTATAATGACCCTCAGCTTTTTGTGTATGCTCCCCTTTGAAAAAGAACAAAAAAGCCTCCACTTACCACCTGCTGTATACCCTCTTCACTCATCAGTCTCCTCCTATTTGTCATCTTAGCTGTGTTTTTAGGGTGCACAGTGGGTGTACATCTGTTATTTTGACCTGCAGGCTTGCCTCTGTGGCTGCCTGCATGTATCCGATTGCCCAGGAGCAGATGCCAGACACATTATAGTAAATCCTTTAATCTGCCTTGTATATACAAATGCTCTAATTTGGCAAGGGGGTCCCATCCACTGTAGCTTGGGATCACAAAGTAATCTCTGTCCAGTACATGAAAAGACAGTTTGTCCAGTTTGGACTGGACGTAGCAACGACTTGCAGTATGTGTTTGTGTGTGTATGACCATGTCCTCTCTAAACCACAGGTACACACCTTTCGAGGGCCGCACTGGTGCGAGTACTGTGCCAACTTCATGTGGGGCCTCATCGCCCAGGGTGTCCGCTGCTCAGGTAACTACACTCCATTAAAGAAGTTGCATGTCACGGATTACACAAAGAAGGTCACGTGTGTGTTGGATTACACAAGTAGTGTGTGATCTGTGGCTGACTCTGTCCTGTCGCGGATGTTTCAGATGCATGTCCTTCTGAAATGGTGGGATCCATTATGGCCCTTTTATGGTCATTTTCCTGTTGTGTCTGCGACAAACAAGTTGAGATCCTGTCAGTGATTCGTCAAAGCTCATTCTTTTCACAGCAACACTTTTATATAATCACAGCTATAACTGCGGTCACCCTTTTTGAACCCGTGCCAACTGAAAGGCAACTGGATGTTTTTACACGCTGTTTTTCTAATTCCCTTATAACTGGTTACTGTGCAAATATATGCCATGGGATGCAGTACGCTGACAGTATTTATATGCCAATCTAATTAATGTTCCTCTGTCGACACAAATCACTACAAATAGATGATGATAAAATGCAGGTCAAATGCAGGTCAAACACAGGCCAAATGCACTGTAATTGTGACCTAATATAGCAGCAGATATAAGTGATTGATTGCGTATGAGAGCTCAGTGGAGTGTTTATGACCTCCCTAGTCACAAGATTCGCTCACTGCACAGACATGAAACTGATGTGCACATCATTGGACCTGGTGGCTTTCTTCCTAAACAGAGTGTTTGTTGTTGAGACATTTGCCACGCTGATAAGCCAGAGGCAAACGCTGGTATCAGACACCTCGTGCTATGTGAAACAGGAGAGACTTTTTTGTCCTCTCTCTCTCTCTCTCTCTCTCTCTCACTCCCTAGCGCCCATTTTTTTTTACATTCTCTCTGCGAGCACTGACTGAGAGTGAGCACCCCCAATCAGCAGACCAGCGTTAACGTCGCTCAGGCGGTAAAAAAAACATCTTTGTGATGAACGAATTCAGTCGGACACCCACCGTCTACAAGTATGGCTCCTCAAAAACCTTCATTCCAAGCGGTGCCGCCACACAAGCAGGTGTGTTTCTCACACACACACTCTGCTCTAGCCAGCTGTCCAGCACGCTTCATGTGGCTGAAACCACTACGAGAACCCCCACCCATGCTGCACTGTTCGCTGCTGTCTACCTTTGGCGCAGGGCATGGAGATAGCTTAGCTGACTCTGGGAAACCTTTTCTGACTGCTGTCTTAAGCCTGCTGTGATGGTTGTGTGATCATCAGTCTGAGACTATTTTCTCTCTCTCTCTCTCTCTCTCTCTCTCTCTCTCTCTCTCTCTCCCTCTCCCTCTTGCTCTTCTAGATTGTGGGCTGAATGTACACAAACAGTGCTCCAAACTGGTTCCCAGCGACTGCCAGCCGGACCTGCGCAGGATAAAGAAAGTGTACAGCTGTGACCTCACCACGCTCGTCAAAGCTCACAACACAACACGGCCCATGGTGGTGGACATCTGCATTCGAGAGATAGAGCTGAGAGGTAGAATGCAGTTAATCAGTCATCACATTTAAAACCCATCAATCACTTCAGGGAAAGGAAAGCAGAACATAAGAGTTTGATTAGTAAATGCTTAACTCAAACATTTCAAGTATTCTGCAATTACATTATGCCGATGGTGCAGAATGGGAGGCAGGGAAATATCAGAAAATAAATTCCCCACAAAAACGTTTCTGTTTCTTTTTCTGTTGCAGGTATGCAATCTGAAGGTCTCTACCGAGTGTCTGGCTTCTCAGAGCACATAGAGGAAGTGAGGCTTGCCTTTGACCGAGGTTTGTTGACGTCAGATTTATTTGGTCTCTGAGGTTTTAGTTCACGGGTTCATACTTTTAAATGAGGAGCTTGTTTCAGCTGCAGTACGGCACAAAATAGCACTGTCCGTTATTTTGTGACGTACACAAGAATATTCAGCCTTTATACGTATATTATTGTATCCAATATTACATGTCATTCATATATATTTTCTTCATCAACAGAGGGTGAAAAGGCTGACATCAGTGCCAGTGCCTATGCAGACATCAACATCATTGCTGGTGCTCTGAAGCTCTACTTAAGAGACCTTCCCATTCCAATCATTACGTTTGACTTGTACTCCAAATTTATTCAAGCTGCAAGTAAGCGCTCCTCCACTCTGGGCTATTCAATGCCATTACTGAGTTACCGGTACCCTGCAGTGCTCTGATAATAATCGTATTACTGATGTAATGTAGAGATTCCAAATGCTGAATCCAGACTGGAGGCCATCCACGAGAGTTTGCTGCAGCTCCCCCCCGCCCACTACGAGACCCTACGTTACCTGATGGCTCACCTCAAGAGGTCAGTTCACACACACACACAAGTCTCCAATGCAAGGACATGCAATGTTTTTGGTTCTTTTATGTAAAGAACTGACTTCAACCCCATTGCAAAGACCTAAAACAACAATGAATTATTCCCCTTAACAGGTGCGTTAATGGCATCTTCTCTTCTATCATAAGCCTCTGTGCCATAGACCTCCGTTGTTCTAAAATGGTTGCTCTTTAGGATATATTCCTTCATTACAATGAACGTGAGCACTGCAGATCCAACATACACCACACTATTGCCATAAATACTCACCAGAGCACCACCATCCGCAAACTATTAATGTATTCATTTACATTTGCAATTACTCCTGTTTGAGTAACTTTTGTTAATGACTACAGTGCCCAGCTGCTTTAGGAAATATTTAGCCTGTTTTAAAAATCATATTTGTAACTATAGTTTTTTGCCAAAGAAGTTGTTTAGAAGTCTTAAAGTATTGGGAGACAGACTAACACTTCATTGGTTTCTGTCTTTTCATGGGATTTGTTGAGGATCCAGAAATAATGCCAGATTCAAACATATGAAAACATTTAGCTTTTTTTGTATTTTGCTGACAGACTAGTTATCTTCTTTTGTTTTACAGGGTGACACAGTTTGAAAAGGACAATTTAATGAATGCCGACAACCTGGGGATTGTCTACGGTCCGACGCTCATGCAGCCACCAGAGCAGAATGCCTTGACAACCCTGAATGACATGAGGCAGCAGAAACTAGTGGTGCAGCTTATGATAGAGCATGAAGATGTCTTATTCTAAGGACTGAGGCATGCAGGCCTTATAACTGAAACGAAGGACATTTATTTATTCTGTCAGAGAGGAAATTCAATCCACCTTGATTCTGATGAAGTTTCAGAATAGTTTGTGACCAAATTGAACTTGAGATGCTTATTTTCTCGCATGACCGTTTTAGTTGGAAGTTGGTTTAGTGTTGACATTGTCTTGTTACTGTAAGTTTGGGTTTTCATACCCAGCCAAGTCCATCATTTTTATATTGGGAAAGGATCCAGTATGTTTACCTACCTGCAGTGCTGTTCTCTCCTCTCTTTCATTTGAAGACTGTCACTACCTGGTGTAGACGCAGTCGTGATGACAGCGCCGTGTGAAATCTCTCAATCAGCAGCAGCCTAGTTAACGTTCCCACATTACATGTGTGCTCATTGTGATTTTAGTGGGAACGCTATATAAAGTTTAATGTAGATAAAAATCCGATCATGTAATGATCAATATTTTAACTGTGTGTACTAAAATTAAGAGATGAGACAATTGGGCGCTTATGAAGCACTTTTTTGCAACAAGTGTAAAGATTTATTTTGTAAAGATGTTTATTTTTGTCTTTTACTCTGCATCGTGTTCTTTTGTCACAATAATATATACTGTTGAGAATGATGTGTGTCGAATCGATGTCTAAATACAAAACTGTTCACAAGAGAGAGAAAAGGAATCGGACGAGAAGTAGTTTGTGGATTTACCATTTTCCTTTGCAACACACTCAGTGCTGTGGTGAGGAATACACAGCTGGATTAAATACTGCTCATTTTACTTCACATGTCATGTTGCAGGCATATTGTAAAACTTTGCACACATGTCTGCTGCCAGTGTTGTAGTATTTCTGTTTACGTGCTGTAATCTGGGATATGTTTAGGGGAAAAATATGATCTGGGCCCATTTCTTTCCTTTTTGTATGCCAGCAGCATCACTCGGTGCAGCAGTAGTTGCCTTTCACTTCACAGTGCCATAGAAGTCAACAGTCATACTACAGCGGTACCGAGCATGTTTATTTCACAGTTGGTTTGATGTGTTTACGTAAATCCTTTCTACGAATCCATTTTATCAAAATGTATTTTTGTGACGGTTGTAATTCAAAATGTAATTTATCAAATGTTGATTTATTAAAGGAAAGAAAACTTGAGTGGTGGTCTTTGTGAGAGAAGACATAATAGCACCACAATGTTCAACTCTGGCTTGCTGCTTTCTCTCTCTCTCTCTCTCTCTCTCTCAAATCTGTTTGTGGTTCCTGAGAACATCACTGGTTCATGTCAGCTTTCATCAGAATGTAATTTTGGTAGAAGATTTCAAAATAATAATTGTACCTCCTTTCTCTATTATTTATTTAAAGAATTGCAATAGAATTACTTCTAGTTTAAGTTGGTGACTAAATAACAGTTGAGATGCACACCAGCAGTATTTATCTTTGCTACAGCTTTACATAATGGAGCAGCTGTGATGTTGTGTGTCTTACAGTTGCTTAAATACTCAATACTTGAATACTGTGAGCATGTGATGCTGATATGCTTGATGGTAGCCTTGGCTGTTATGGGGGAAAGACATTGCATCCTTTTCTATCTCTACTGCATCGTCAGACAATTTGTTTTTGGTCAATTTAACTTGGGAGGCTTCTATTCGCTGTCAACATTCACTCAACCAAAATCTTACACAGCTTTTAATTTGTATTGTTTCAGGAAAAGAATGCTGACAGCCATCACACATCTCACCGCCTTCTTTCATCTTTGAAACATTGTGCTTCCTGTTTATGTTACAGAGCTGATTCCACTCTAACTACTGCCTACTGATAGGCTACTTCTGCTCTCCCTGTTATAGAGCTTATAGTGTGAGAGACATGCATCACCTGTGAGTGACTGTATTAAAGATACTGTAGATCTTTTACATAATCAAGTTTATTTTTACGTTTGTAATCAATCATCCCACCAAGAGTCACTTCTCTTGTGGACTCATGTGACATTTTATTTGACAGAGCTATGAGTATGCCAGGAATTTTCCCCTCCTGTATAAGAATTGTTCTCAAATAACTTGAATATTAACTCGAACACTTTGTTTCCTACTCAGGGTTCAACAAGATCATTTTGTATTCAGATACTGTTTTAGTTTGGATGTTATTCCCTACAAAATGTACATTTTGGATGCTACTGAGGGATTTGAATGGTTGTTTTAGGCTAACTACAATTGTATATGAAAACCGTGACAATGAATTCAATGGTAATCCATAATTTTGAATATGCATCATGGCAAGTGATTGAAACCTTTCTATATAAGCCTACTGCATACTTCTCTGTGATTCACTCCTGATGGAATGAAATGATATACGTGACTGTAGACTCATTTTAATCTGCCAGGAACAGAAATCTAGAAACTCAAAGAGAAGGACCCCTGACAGTTTTATTGTTGTTCTTTTGTTTTGAAATGTCTAAATGATACAAAAGTGTAGGACAAGAGTGCCCTCTAGTGAATAATGAAGATGTACACAGAGAAAAACTACCATCCATAGACTGTATCACCAAGGCTGACTGTTTACAGTACACAGGTAAAGTAAATCAAAATAAATTCTAATGGGGAGCCTAAAGGCATTTGTGGTAACATTATCAGTGCAGAATGTAGATATAAATTAAGTATGGGTCTAAGTTTCCATAACATGTTCATCTAAAAGAAACATAATACTGTTCATCAGCAGTGTAAAAAAAAAAAAAAGCAAGCCCAGTAACTAATTCACAATTTGAGAAGTGATTCAAGAAACCAGTTTAAAGAAGTAGATGAAATCAGTCTTTTAGAGCTCATCGTGCTGGTAGGTGAATTCCCTCGCAGATATAAAACCATCTTTATCTTCATCCTCATTTTTGAAGATGTCCTCTACCATCGCTTCATGATTGGTGTCATTGGGGGAATATCCATGTTTCTCAAATTCTTTCTTCAGGTACTCTTTTACCTGTAGCGTAGACAGAATGATAATGGCATATCAATTTAAAAAAATAAAAAAAATGTATTTATACACTAGAAAATAGAAAAGCAGTTTTAAAGAATTTCACACCTCCTCTCTGCAGAGCTTCCAGTCGTCATTGAGATCCATCTCCCGGAAAGACTCGTGCGACCTGGGACCATTTCGGATCTCCATGAGCTCGATGTCAAAAATGAGGGTACTGCCTGGAGGGATCTTGCCTGTTAACAAAAAAAAAGTAAGTATAAGAAACAGGCGCATAGGACTGGGGGGGGAAAGGGGACTGAGTATACAGGGCTCTCATGTGAGGATGATCCACAAGGATACAAGAATGAATAGCAGATGCGATGAAGGTCCAGAATGTTGTGCTATGCCCCTGAATAGAAGCACAGACATGTTATGGTGTAACACAACAAGAAAGGGGGAGTCAACAGACCCTCTCCAACATGTTTTTGTGTCTTACTCATAGTCTTTGTTACCTTTTCCTTCCTTGCCATATCCCAGAGATGGAGGAACGGTCAGTTTTCTGCGCTCTCCTGTGCACATGTTCTTCAGACCCTTATCCCAGCCCTTGAGCACCTCTTGAATCCCAAGAGTGAACCATACTGGATTTTTATCCCCATGTTCGCGGCTGCCAAGAGTAACAAAGGTGCATCACAGTTTTCTTTGAGAAAGAAAAGTTCAGTACACACAGAATTGATATCACAAATATGTACAATAAAGGGTTGAATGGCTGCCGCCTAACTTTAATGACTGGTGGTTAATACTGAGGTCTGACAATAAGCATATTTGATAAGATACATTTTAAGAAGTGATTTAAATAGCGCCGATAGTCCTATTGACATGGGCTGCAGCATAATGCAGTCCATTAGATACATATATTGCTTTTTACAACGTGTGACTGACTACCCTGCACAAGGAGTGTAACACAATTGCAAAGCAAAGCATGCAGCGTTATTACAGTTTCTAGCAACAAATTACCTGGAAAAAAACAGGGTGCCATTACTTTCCAAGAATCCCTCGTGATGAACAAGAAGCATGTCTCCATACTTTGACTTACGGTAACACATGAAGGGTTTATGTAAAACTTCAATTTTCACTTCTGGCTCTGGCAGTTTCGCCCCGGTAACAAACACAAACAGTGAGGGCAATATCGAACAAATAGAAAAAATATTCATTTTGATAGCTCACTTACTCGCAAAATTAATTTGAAAAAAAAGGCTAATTTAAACCTTTTCACAAAATGCAGTACCTAAAATAAATACATGGCAGGAATGTCAACTACGTGGCAGCCAACTTGCACGAGAACGCAACCACTGTTAAGCTGTCTGCCCTCCTTCCTCTACTATTGGATACATGAATTACAAAGCTCCGCCCTTTACCTATCTACTCTTATTCTATTGGTTCTTCTTTGTGTCAATCAACACAATCCACACCCATAGTACTTAATTCCCTCTAATGTTAATGGGAGGAGCGGGCGGAACGTCATCAGAGCTCGATTCACAAAAAAGTTTACGCACTTTTATCTACGTAGCTGGAATGTAAAGCCCAGGACGTTACTCCACAAATCACACTCGGGCCCCGATGGAGTCGCTGCAATCAGCTGTGCATCGTATCTTGTTGTGATAAACAAGTAATGAACGGCAGAAACACAGTTAAAACAATGGAGGGAATGCTGCATAAATGGACCAACTATATTAGCGGTAAGTTAATCCTGTGGTCGTTGCGTTTTACGGTAGCTAGCTAGCACGGCAACGTCATTCACTTGTGTTGAGTTGGTTAACGTTAACAGGCGACGGGTAAGCTAACGTTAGCTACCGTGAGGCTTCAACTGTCGGCGCTTATGCACCGCATTAAATTAACAACCTTTTTGTTTGACGTTGCTACGTTAAGTTAGCAGTTTACCGAATTAGAAGTTAACCGTATTTAAGTAGTTTTAACCGGTAGCGCCATTGTAGATAACGTTAGTTCCCCACCATCTGTCATTGTAATCTGATTTAACGACTGCTTAACGCTAGCTCATGAAGCTGTTTTTTATTGAGTTTTTCTAATTGATACCGACATTGAAAAGTGAAGTACCCATGCTCGTTAAACAATGATCAAACGACTATAAATTACTATTTTATTTTTTTCAGGTTGGCAACCTCGTTGGTTTGTGCTTGACGGAGGAACTTTGTCTTACTATGACTCTCAAGAAGATGCGTGGAAAGGTTGCAAGGGCAGCATTAAAATTTCCGTTTGTGAAATCCAAGGTCTGTATGGCTCACTTTGTCCTGTCTGCTGTGTTTCATTGTGCAAAGTGTTTGTGAGTAACTGTCTCTCGCCCTTTTTTTTATGTAGTCCTAACAAACATGTCTCCCTGTGTGTGTGTGTGTGTGTGTGTGTGTGTGTGTGTGTGTGTGTTTCATTAGTTCATTCCTCTGACTCTACACGAGTTGACCTGACCATACCAGGAGAGCAGTACTTTTACCTCAAAGCCATCAACGCAGCAGAGAGGCAGAAATGGCTGGTGGCACTGGGAACAGCCAAAGCTTGCCTTACAGACAACCGAACAAAAAGAGAAAAAGGTATTTCAATGCTATGAGTACCCTTACACAACTAGCATTCTATTGTAAAAACGTTGTGAACGGTTTGCTGCTGCTGTTATTATTGCAGAGCTCCAGGAGAACACGGAGGCATTGAAAACTAAGATGTCGGAGCTCCGGTTGTACTGTGACCTTCTTCTCCAACAAGTAAACAAGATCAAGGAGAATGATGAGCTAGGAGACACGGCGGAGGTAAGCTTAAGGTTTGGATGAGCTGATGAAATAAGAGAAGCTGCTGTTGGTGTGAGACTGCAGTATAGGGTAGCAAGACATTCAACTGTTGTGTGCTTATGCATACTTATAGACCGGACAGCAAGCAGTTATCACAAGTACATTTTCTCTTCTTATTTTTCTTTGTTTTATATTTAGTTTTTTAATAGATTTCAGCGGAACAACACACTTGCCTGTCAGGATATTTAGGGGGAGTGTCGGCTAATGTGTGTGTGTGTGTGTGTGTGTGTGTGTGTGTGTGTGTGTGTGCGTGTGCGCCCCCCTTTCAGACAGGAATAGACACTGGAAACATGGTGAAGTCTACGTGCACCACTTTCCTCAAGACTCTAGAGGAATGCATGCAGATAGCAAACCACACGTTTAGTTCAGATGTGGCGACGCAGAGTCCACCAGGATCTCCTCCAGTAGCCACCATCAAACCTCAGAAGGTACATTTATGCCACCACTCCTGTGTCTAATCAGATAATCTAGTAAAATCAGCATTACTTGTTTAATTATATATGTATATATTTATAACTCCCTAATGTCTTGCTTCTCCAACAGATTAAACCTGTCAATCATTTAAAACAGAACTTTGGAGAAAAGTAGGTTTTCTTTCATAATGTATTTTTACTTCCTACACTGCTTCTTCTTTCATTTTTTTAAGTAGCACTCAGGACAGTGAGGTGAACATTAAATACCCGTTCAAATGTTTTCTGTTTATACGATAAAACATCATTAATGTTGCATTTCTGTTGCACTAGACACTCAAAATAAGTGCGTTCTGAGTTTTAGAATTAACATTGCACGCTCAAAATTGATTCCAGATGGAGAGATTTGGCTGAAACCTCAGGAGAAGTAATTGCACAGGACAACCAGAGCCTTGACTCTGGAGCCGAAGGACCAGATGAGCCCGATAGACCAGAACACCATCATTCCCCATCAGGTAAGTGAGGTGTCCAAACCACTTCACTTGCTCCCTGAACTGAAACCATTCCTGCATTCCATAAAGGAAAGACCACACACACACACATCCCAAAGGGTTGTTGTGCGTACATCATCTGACCTCATGGATAGATTATTGCCTTTTAGTGAGCAGACAGTGATGGATGCCCCAATTACATTATTGCATTTCCCTTAGCAGTAACAGGGGAAGTCTGTTTTATCTGTAATACATATACTATCTCACTGTGAATACAAAGATACATTATTTAAAACACACAATAGATTTTTAAGTGTGCTTATGAGGTGAAGGGATTTCTTTTATTACATAGGATTTTTTTTTTAATGTAATGTAGCACTTTACTGGAACTTAAGAGATGTTTTTTATGAGTTTTTTTTGTTACATAATTGACATCACGTTATTTTGGTTAAGGCAAAAATACCAAAACAAAGCGATGGTAAAGAAAAGCATTTCAAGAAGCCTGATGTTAAATCACAGTCGGGTGTAGTCGCAACTGAAACCAGTCACACTTTACCACACCCAACTGTGACGTACTGAACCATTCAGCCTATAGAGGTCAGTACAGCAACACCTCTACACAATACAACATGTATGTAGTGCTGCTCTAGAAGTTCATATAATTTTACTGAAATACTAAGTGATGGATGAGCATGAATCTCGGTGTACCCTGCCTGTGGTTAAAGAGAATAAGTCGATCGTTGTGCAAGTCATCCAAGTGCTGTTTGTCTACTCTTGTCACCCAGATGTCGATGGCGCCGACAGCAACAGGTCAGTCCACGAGGAGGGAGTCGATCCTACTTCACACACTACCCAGAATACCTCTGGGACTGAACACTACGAACAACCAGCAGAGAGGGGTGAGGAAAACGAAGCGGACGATCAAAAGGAGACAAAACAAGAGCAGCCGCACAAAGTGGACCAAAGTCGGGAAGAGCGCGACAACAACAACAAGGAAGCGGACGTCGTTCAGCCTCAGCACCAACAGGAAGCTGTTCCAGACCAAGAGGAGGCTCAACGTGAAGGTGAAACCTCCAGAGATTCACCAGATTCAGAAGACACCGAGCAGGTGGAAACTTTCTTCAGCACAATGAGTCACAGGTATGAAAATGCTACTCAGGAAGGTCACATTCTTTAGGACACACACGTTACTGTGTGATCGTCTGTGGTGTTTTACTATGACAGTATTAGGGTTAACCAATCCAAGCTATATGTAGTATTCTTGTCTTGGAGGCACTGCACTTCTGCTGCAACTTTTGACTAAACTGCAGAGTTACTTAGATTGTGGAAATATATTAATTGTGATAAAGTGTTGCACAGAATTTATATATATAACAGGTTTTGGAACATTTTGACTGAATCCATTTCACGATGTCATTATAAGTGTTTTATATTAGTGTGTTCTCTCTTGATCACGTGACACAGAGAGGCCCTCATCTGATATTTGGGTTTGTAAAGCTTTTTTGTTTCACTCTGTATTTCAAACGTATTTTATTTTCTCATTTTAAGACCTTGAAGAGTGTTACTGAACAATGGACTAGCGTGTTAATAATCAATTATAAACATTATTATAATGGGGGGAAAAATCATTCTCACTTAACCAGTATTTAACTGCAAGATGTGACAGTGCGTTCATTTTGGAGTTGGTCTTTTTTAATATTGATGAGACGGTTTAAGATGAACAACAACTCTGTTAAGTTGTAGCAGAATAGTCTCAGGTATTATGGTCAGGCACAGAAATGCATGGCACTGTGTGGATCATTTCTCTGGCTTGGTTTTTGACATTTGTACCCTTTTCTGTTATTTTTTCTGTTGGAGTTGATCAAATAAAACTGACTGGCATACGTCCCTCTAATATATTCTCCTGTTTGAATCTGTTCTACTCTTTTAGATTTAGTGATATAAGACTGGACGACGGCAATGGTATCCCTACACAAGAGTTTTTGGACTCATGCTATGCACTAGTACCTGTATTAGGTAGGCCGGTCACTTTCAGTCTCTCCTCTTGATCTGCCTCTTTCTCATGCTGCACCTGTGCTCATTTCACCCTTTTATAGCTTTCATAAGGAAAACTTCTTCCTACTATTTTTCTTGTAATTTCTGCATGCTCTGTCTTTTACATTGTCTGTATTTGATAAGGTGACAGCTTTCTGTCTTGGGTTAATAATCGCCAGCCTTTTCTTTCATGCCCTCATTATTTCCCTCTGCACCTTTCATTGGTTTTCTTTATTCTTTGTTGCCTAACAGTCTATCTTAAGTTGATTGTTAGCTCATACTTGTTCCTGTGTCGTAGTCTGTGTGCACTACACATCTACACATAGATAAAGGTGGTCGGTCACAGTAACGACACAAACAAGGACAAAGACTTTAAAAACATTTCTTGTTTTGCCAATTTCGGAGGAAATTGTCAGGCGGGTTGAAAAAACCCTTTTTCCGAGCTACGTCTGATGTGGCCCAATAATGAGGAGGGGAGGTTGGAGAATGATTTTAGGTCATCCAGAATGACCTGGTGGTACGAGAGATTTGCAGATAAGCATCAACGTTGAATTTGTTCACATGTAAGATGGCCAGGATACCAGAGCATTATGTTTTTAATATGAACAGTAGGGCTTTTATAAAGGTCCCCTTTAAATGTAAAACATTGGAAATCTCTGTTAGTGACTAAATATATATCTAAAGTGATGTAAACTTTTGCTCACGTCTAGCTGTGCGCAAACATTTTCAGCCCAAATGAATGACAAATCTTGACCCAGACTCCACACAGCATGCCCTCAGAATTGGCACTTAGGACTTCTACTGTGTCACAAGCCGTTACTATTTTCCCATTAAATCTGCAGTCAAAAGGTGAAATTGTCTTCTGAACATTGTTACACAGGGTTTTCTTCCCTCTTTAGCGTTGCTTAAAACACTGTAGTCCTAATAAGATGACATGAAACTAAGAATCCTTTCTTTCATAAGCAACAAGTGAATGCTCATGGGTTTTCTCTTCTCAGACAAGCTGGGCTCCACAGTGTTTGCACCAGTTAAAATGGATTTTGTTGGAAATATCAAGGTATGTGTTCATGTCATTGAGAGGTTGTCTTAAAGCAGATTCCACTGTTCAACAAAAGAAATGAAGGCATAGCTCTTCAAAAGTGGCTTTACATCTACATGTAGTGTGACAAACAGGATTAATCAACATTAGTACTTAAGCACCCACTACAGTATAATGTCAACACAGAGATTTGCTATAATAAGTGAAAACCAAAATCTCAGTACTGGTATTTTTGTTCTGTCAGTGTTCATTAGATTAAGTACTGTAACTTATTGAGCTGTTAAAATAGTCTTTATCATTTTGTCTGATCAGAGTCAGAATGATGACTCCATCTCCAGCTCTTGTCACCATATCAACGTCTTTTAAACCCTGTAGAAAATTCATCAGAAGCTGATGTCGGAGCCCGACAGCTTCCCCACGCTACAGTCCATCGTGCTGTATGAAGTGCAGACCGATGTTGCTCGGGTGCGTAACTCTGCCACCGAGGCTCTGCTGTGGCTCGGACGAGGCCTGAAGTTCCTCAAGGAGTTCCTGTCAGAGGTCAATGCGGGAGAACAAGACATCCAGGGTGCACTAAGTGAGTCCAATTTCTACGATGAAAAAAAGATACAACTCAACGCACGTTCAAGATCCATCATGTTCTGTCTATTCTCTCCCCCAGACAATGCCTATGGAAAGAGCCTCCGACAGTACCACGGATGGGTCGTGCGAGGCGTTTTCGCTGTAGGTATCTCTCACACCAATGCTTCATCTGTTCTTGGAATGTGTGACTATCAAATGTTTCCTATTTCCCCAGTTGGCGCTGAGAGCTGCACCGTCTTATCGAAGTTTCGCCGCTGCCTTAGTGTCGAGAGAGGGCGACGAGCTGAAGGGCGGCTTCACCCGCGGCATGCACAGGGACCTGGGAGTGTACCTGCCCGCCATGGAGAAGCATCTGGCCATCCTAGATGCCCTGTATGAAGAATACAACCTGGAGTCCGATGAAGTGGTGTGAAACTCGGAACAGAGAGAGGAGCCGCATTCAAAGGAAGGACAGAATCCGACTGCTGAAGGATGGTGCCGGATGCATCTTTGTGTACAAAATAGTGTGAGCATGTCCCGTGTCAGTGTTAGGTGTTAGCAGTGGAGGCTCTAGGTTTGAAGAAGGTATTAATGTCTGTATTTAGGAGCAAGCAATGACAATGGAGACATTTATGGTTTGTTGAAGAGACTCCAACCATAATGATTCATGCTGACATTTGTTTCTGGTGCACATTGTGTGGCTGTATTGTGGCTTGTTATGTACAGGTACATAACCACAAGTACTCTAGTAACTGTCCCTGGAAGATCATGTGTGATTTCCCTGATGAGAATGCAAAGACATTTTCTAATCAACATTGTCTTGGATTCATGAAACCGGGTGATACTTGCGACTAACATTAAGCACTTGTTTGACAAAAACAACTTCAGATTGTGCCAATGCCCAATATATATATGCCTTAAGTATGTGATAGTATAGCAAATTTGGCTAACTTTTAATGTATTATGTAGAAAGTTAGTTTTTGCACTGACCATTGAAAGCTATGGTATTATGATCACTTTTTTTTTGTTTTTCTTTCCTGAAATGTCAAAACAAACCCTGCAGGTTGACAGTGTATTGTTTTACATCACTAAAATGTTACGAGCTATCGCTCTGGAGACTTTCCGTGGGACCAAAAGAAGCTGTCATGTGACTGGCTTTAGCCTTTGAGTACCGCAACACACAAGACTAAAGTGATACAGTGTCGCTGTTTGAAGTACTGACAACTGCTGAATACTTTTGTGGACATCCTCTGCACAAACCTATGCATAGAATGCATTTTCACAAAGTCTATTTATTGCGTCCTAAGTTATAAAGTTCACATTGATGTCATTGCGGTCCAGCTCTGGTGGGAATGTAAGGGCATTTGTATCCATAGAGCATGTTTATTGCTTGCATGGTTTTATGTATTAAGTAACATTGGTGCCAATGGAGACTGAATATAGGCCAAGGACTTGAAGTAACCGAGTTATTGAAGAATCCTAAAGTGGATCGATGAAAAGTTCAAATACATTGCTTCTCCTTCATCTCGGTACTGATAATGAACAGTAACGTTCAGCTGGTCTACTTCATCTCGTCCATGCACTGTTCTGCATATAACGAGTGTTGTTACCAGCCCTGCTTCATAGTTTATTTTAATAATTAAATGAGTGGTAAGACTTCAACCTCCCAGCCAGGTTAAAGTTTGTCCATGTCAATGAACCATTCAAACAAAGCAGGACCATCCTCATAGGGCTTCTTTTTACTAAGACATCTTTTGTTTTCAGGAATGCATACAGTAATTCTTGAAGTAAGTCATTTGCAGTGTAGGTTTACACCACAGATGGGCTGATTTCATGTTGCAAATAAACCTCAATGTTTTTCCATGGTGATATTGCGAACGTTTGATTTGGTTTTCTATGACTGTATATAAGATGCTATTTGATTTCTACATAATAAATAATGAAGTTGTCTTGGTGTGTGTGTGTCCAGTCCTGTCGTAGTCAAATATGCGGTCTCAGATTTCTTTATCAGATAGTCCAGAGGTAATGTTTCATTCACAGAAGAGAAATGTCTCTGCGTGCTTCAGGTCTGCCACGTCCCCCACGTTGCTGTTTCATTTCCCTGGCGAAACACTGCTTTCCTTTGCTTTCCTTAACACTGCTCTGTTAATCCTTTTGTCTTTGTGACCCTATCAAGGAAGCCTTGTGGAGGTTCCCTATTTATTGTGCTTCTCCTGGTGAAACTGAAATCAAATAGTGTATAATTGACCCTCACTTTTCTGCATTTTGCTTGTTAATCAAACAAATCAACGAGTATATAAGAGAATAAGCAATAGATGGTAAATCTGCACAGGTGTTTGTCTAAACAACAGTGGCCCTGAGCTCAAATAACACCTTTGCATACTTTGCTGTGAGAGTTTTGCATGTGGAGCAGTAGTGCGTCCTCTGCCAGGACCACAGCACCCTGCATGCCAGCCATTTCTGCTTATAGGTCAGGGATTTTCACTTGCCTTAGGCCAACAGCTGGGCGCCTCACTGTTTCCTGTCCCCATGGCCTCATTTGCATCGCCCCTTGTGCCACAGCTGCAATGCTACACCACCCAACCTGCACTAAAATAAGTCCTTTTGTTGAGGAAAGTGTTTGATTTCGCTTCACCTTGAGACAGCTCAAAATAGAACTTAACTCCATGACCAGCGTCTTTGAGAGAGAGAGGGAAAACCAATCAAATCTTGAAAACAAACAGCTGGTAGTTAATAAATTCATTTGTAAGAGAACTGTTTAAGGTTCCCAATCTCCACAAATAGTAAACTCCAATTGTTGGATTCGTCTGTGAGCACAGCAGATCTTTTCATTACAGAGCCGTAGAATGAGGTCGGCCACAGCATCTCCAGCGACATTTAGTGCTGTACAGAGACATCTGTGGTACAAATCTGATTGGTCTGGTCAGGGGAATGCACATGATGGGACAAATCAACCAAGGTAAGCTTTTACTTGGGCATCTCAGCAGACAAATTGCCCTGATGTGATTTAGAAAAGAAATATGGCATGCTAATAGAGTTATGTGGTCGCGTCCAACCTCAAACATCTCTGTTGCAACACTGGCTGGTTGCCCATGCCCAACCTGTATCACTGTGCCTCATCTCCAGGCACAGACTCCGCTCTAAAGGGGGCTTCATCGAGACAGAATAAAAAGCTGAAAAACCCATTGCCATGTCTGAGAAAACAGCGAGAGTTCACTGGGAGGTCTGTCAGCTATCTCGTCTAATGCAGCACTTTGCAAGGAGCCGCTGACAGCATCTCTTTTGCACTTGATAGATATCTGCTTTGTCTGCTTTTTGTTGTTGGTTGTTTTTTTTTTTTTTTACAGTGAGTGCTCTGAAAGAACATTGGCTTTTTGCACAGCATCCAATCACTGTCGACACTTGCTCACAATGCACAGGAAGCAGAGCTGCTGAAAAATAAAAACCCTGACGTAAGTTTAAAGATTCATGGGTGTAAAGCAGACCGACATGTTTGAAGGATGTAGATTCCTGTTTTATTTATTTTTAAAAGTATCCACAACTACTGTATAAATCATATCTGAGCAATGAAACAAAATGAACTGACTATCCGTCACAGCGCATACTATATTTCATAAAGCCTTACAGTACGTTACCACATGCACGTTATGTTTCAGCATTGTTGTGCATACACAGTGCAGGATATAGCACAGCAGCACAGGCCACAGACAGAACATTCACCATAGTTTACAAAAGGTATTTCAGATTTGTGCAAGGCACAGTTCATCACTATCATATAAGCTGTGTCATACATACAGTACTTAGCTACACTCTGGGCAGAGCAAGACTGATATTTCTTAAGATGCCATGGTTTACAAAACAAAAGCGGAAGTGTTTCACACCCATTAGCACTGTATCACAAGCATGCGGAGACAATATAGAGAACAGTCTGTATCTTTCTTTTTACAGAAGAATCACTTTATAACACCTGGCTCCATCTCAGCGACTCATACAGTAGCTTATGGAAAAGGTCAGCTTATATTGGCAAAGTCATTTTCACCATTAGTGCCAAACACACAGCAGACTACATCTACACTGTTAAGTATACTGTTAAGTTTCTCTGTTGTATATACTGTAAGACAGAAAGACTGAATAAAGAGGTATTAGAGTAAATACAGTAATGATGACCTAACAGACTGGAATTGAAATTCCTCCCCCTTTAGCAGGTGCAGACTATCCCAGCCTTCCCTGTGCAGTGAGAAAATTAAGAACATAACAGTTTCAAGCCTTCATATACAGTATATTTCATTTCTCACAGAATCACAGGGAGGAAACTCAAGTTATCTGTGTGCTTCAGCGTACAGTCACTGCCATATCATTTACAAAGAGAGTGGTGTGGGGGTGCCTGTGAAAGGTGCTGTGTGGAGCTACATTACCTGTTGGTTCCTGAGAAGTTTTTTTGGATTTATGAAACCTTGTCCAGACTGAATGACCCTGTCAAGCACAGTACCACCTCAAGCTGATCAGGCCAAGTCGGTCTCCTGGTGTAACAGTCTCACTGAAATATTACAAGTGCATAGTCCATGCCCCTCTATCTCCATTCTGCACACACATTGAGCTTGTACTACTACTTGCTAACTGCAATTCTTGTTGTGATATTGAGACGACACAGTACGAGCCTTGTCGTGGCAATAATAAGTAAGGTGAGGGGTTACATGCTTGGATAGTGACAGCTGTGGTCATGGTCTCAGTAATCCCAGCCTCATGCAAATGCTGCCATTGATGCTGCATTAGAATACCTGAGGCCATGGCTCTGGATGTCCTACTGCCTCTCTTTCTCAACAGTATCTGGGTCAAGATTAATACGCCTCTCTGGCCCGGCTACTGCTCCTCTGCAACATCTCCCACTGGCACTTAATTAAGTCTCTGCATGGCTGTCACATAACTGTTGCATCCAGAGGCTGATTCATGGTGAGGAGGCCAGTCTTAAGTCCTGCTTGTTAAGACTGAGTGCAGTTGTCCTGTGCATTTCCTATGTGTGGGTGAAAGTTGTCACCTCCACTGACCAACTACAACTCCGGGGAGCTACTTGGCACTCCAGCAGCAATACAGAGGAGTTATATATAGTATATAGTATATATATATATATATATATATATATATGTTTTGTTTTTTTCTTTCATCATAGAATCATTGGCTGCCTCTACCTTCAGAGTCTCTTGCTTGGAGCATTATTGTTCTTTTTTTTTTTGCATAAAAATATTCCAAATATCACACAGAGGATCCCGCTGCACTGTCCAGCTTCCACCTCAAGTGAAGTACTTGCAGTTTGTGGAGTCAATAACACAGTATGGTGTGCACTTGAGGTGACCATATGACCTGCAAAGAACATGAGAAACAAGGTTTCGGTCAGTTTAACATATCAACAAAAGACTTCTCATTGTTGTCAAGATATAGTTGTATGCTGTGCTTACCCTGGGAGATATGAATTACATGTCTGGTATCCAAAGTCCTTTCCATCACACTCCTCAGCCCCCTCATAGCGGTAACCGTCTCCACAGTAGGCGTGTTTACACTCTGTGGTAAGGGGAGACAGCAGAGGTGGTTGGGGGGGGGGGGGATGTTATATGTGCACAGCAGAGCACAACCAAGGAGCTCTTTTAGACCACCTAACGTGGACGCTTGACTTACTGACGCAGCCGTCAGTGACGACTCTGTTTCTGTCGTCACACTCCTCCCCAGTGGAAATCTGCACAATCCCGTCACCGCAGTAACCCTCATCGTCAGGTGCGTTTTCCATGGACTGGAACGGAGTCAACTGGAATGGAAAAGTCTTTTGCAAAGTTTAAAAAAGTTGAACAAAATGGAAAAAAGTGCTTGAAAAGTCGTCGTGTGTAAAACCAGATGAAATAATCAGATTTCGCTGCATGCACTGATACCTGGATTGGCAGCCAGCCATCAATGTCTTTGAAATAGAGAGATCTCTGGTCTTTGCGGAATGCAAGAGCATTATCTGTGTGAAGGCTCTCCAGTTCTTCCTCATTGCTGACAACGAATATCTGAATGAAAGGCAAGGTGAAGAAATGTACTGTCATGTTTTCAATACTTAGTGTATTTCGAATTATATGGTTGGGTGCAATTTTGAGATATTGAGCATTCAAATTTTATATCTCAGCTTGCAGTATGTCTCTCAATAGGCATACTTTTCTCTTTCTAAACTCTTTGTCTTTGAATAATCAACTCAAAAGTTATTGAAACCCAAGTAAAAATAACATTGACTTAGATGTTACATACATACAGTATAGCCTATACGTTTTAACTGTGATTCAAGTTTGAGTTTTGTCAGCGATGTGTCAAATGATTCGGTACATCAAAAAAATACTGTACATAACTTTTTGCACCCGACAAGACTTAATTCCTCACCGCTGATACTTTGGGATAGTTTCCTCTGGAAGGGTAATCATCAAATGGAGAATTACTGAGAGAGCCACAGCTACACTTTCCAGGAGGCCCTGGTGGACCACGCCCACCCTTTGTTCCAACCATGAATAGTCCTAAACATATGAAGAGAGGAGAAAAAATATACTAAACTAACTAAAGTGAAGGGGATGATATAAGTACCATATGTCATGAAATGTAGTATCTTTGATTCCTTTATCAAGAAGCAAAACCAATCAACCTAATTCACTGATAAACCTGATCAAACAAGCAAATGTCACATTAATCATCTGGTGACATATTATTTGGAAAACTGCAAGGAGGCTCGCCATCTGTGGCTCCATTTTAGCCACATGATGTCATGAAGACAGCATCTTGTTTCACCTCAGGAGATAAGGTTTCTCTGCTGCTATGTAAAACTACCAGTGTTACCTCTTACACTGGTCTAAAGTCTGCTTCATTTTGCCGACAGGGGTGTCAGCTACTCCTCCCACTGGGAGCACAGCTTTTCACTCACTCTCAGAGAAAGTGCAGAACCAAATACCAAAAGTGGACGTATGTAAATGTGTGCCTTGATTGAACAAAAAGTCAGCTTTTAAATCAATGCAGTCAAGAGTTTTTAATCTGATGGAAAATGGAAAAGGTTCTCACCTGTGGCAGGTGAACCAGGAGGACCAGGGTGGCCTGGAGTTCCCTGTGGGCCTGCAGGTCCCATCGGACCAACACTGCCTGTGTCTCCTTTACCTCCCTGAAACACAATCAAAACAATGCACAAGGCGGTCGGTTTCTTTACAAAAAGGTTTAAAAATCAAAAGGTTGAAACTAATACGAACATACCAATATTAATCCTGAATGTGCAATAGGACATTTTGAGCATAGAAAAGTATTTTTTGCATGGCCATCAATTACATTTTGAAGAGAAATGATTAACACACAAGTAACAAAAATCTTCTGTTCTCAATACATGCGTGAGTATATAACTCCATATATCGCTGACATGTCCACCAACTCCTCACCTGCTTGCCTCTCTTCCCTGGTCGGCCAGTGGGTCCTCTGTTTCCTGAGATCCCAGGTTCTCCCTTTGGACCCATTTCCCCCTGCACACCAAATCACATCAACTCAACATTCATTTTGGTCGTATTTGGAAAGTTGTAATTCTGCGGAGCAAATTCAAAACTCCTTCTTTGTTTCAATGTGTTTCTCACTTTCTGTCCAAGCATTCCTGGGAAACCCATCGCACCCTGCGGATAAAGAACAGTAAAGCATAATATAACTTTGATCATGTACAGCATATACTGTATGCACCATAGTGCTGCTTCATTCATTCCAAATGACCCCTGCGACTGATTAAATCTTCATACCTTGTCGCCTTTCACTCCACTTTCACCGCGATCTCCTCGAGAACCCTGATGGAGCAGATGATGTTAATGATTAGATGTTAAGATTAATCAATATATCTAATTGCATTTTCTACTGAATGATAATAACAAATGGTTTCATACCTTTTCACCTTTATACCCGGGTAAACCCTAGAATTAAAGACACAAAATATCCAGGATGAAAAAAAATCAGTGTGAAGGTGAGACCATGCCAGATCAGTGTAGTGCATATGTATCTCATACCCGTGGCCCAATAGGTCCTCTGGCTCCAGGCAAACCCATCAGCCCCGGGTCACCTTTCTCACCCTGATGCACGGAAAAACATTAGGTATAAGACAAATGTGGATTTGCTTTATTTATTTTGACACAATATTACCCACAGCCCAAAGAAGAAATACTGTGCAGGCTTTGAATCCCAGATTCTTTTGTACAATTTCAATTACGCATTCATATAGAAAAAGTTGTTACATAACAGAGTATTTCATTGTATGGGACTGAACACAAATAATAGCGAACACTCATCTACCCGACCTTGTATTGGCACTTACTGGTCTCATCTCAGAACATATTTTGTATCATCTACATTATGAGGTCTGACTTACTCACTTTGGGCCCACTTGGTCCAGGCCATCCAGCTGGTCCCTGTTTGCCAGGAAGTCCAGGAGGACCTGTTCGACCCTAACAGCAGACATCAATTTTAACACATGATCTCAGACGTAGAAATATCTAATAAAACAATTGCTGCCACAGCTGAGGAAGCGGTAATCTGATTACGAAACCAGGGCCTCTTATGCCTGTTAGCTTTGCAGGTAAAAAAAAAAAAAAAAGAAAAGAAAGAAAAACAATTCAAGTGCAGGATTTGCTGCATAAGCTGACAGCCTGCTTGCTACAGTATTTATCAGACACTGCTGCACATGTAGAGGGAGAATGACTTTAACGAGCCCTGTCACTTTGCTCTCTTTAATTAAATGATGGGCTGTGTATAGAACAGGAGCCCGTGCTTGTGGGAAATAAAATGATTTATGACCTGGCTGGAGCACTAAGCTAAATTGCACCGCAGTGCTGCAAAGCTGCTCAGTCAGGCCACCAGCCAGTGAGGCTCTCCCACTGGGCCGCTTTTGCTGCTCGACCACAGCGACCGATCATTTAAGGAGGTCACTTCTCTTCCGCCTGCCTTGGTCAAATGCTGTGTCCCGAGCTTGCAATAAAGCTGCGTGGGCTTGTTCCTTCTGTTCTAATAGAAAGGGAGGGCCATCTGACAGGGAGGCATGGTGCTGAATGTCTGTGAGGGGTCAATATTGAGGAATAAGCTTCCTGTCAGTGCGAGCAGACCATCCCTCTGCCATCGAAACAGCAGCAGATCTGCCTGCCTTGCGTCCAGCCAGTGTATCTGTGCTGTCTCCTGTCAAGGTTGTACTCTGCACTCTGAGTTACAGCTGGAGAGAAGGCGGAGGCACGGTATCTCATATTTGAGTAAATCCACTTAGCGGAGAATATGGAGTGATTAATGGAGACTCTCACCTTTTGCCCAGGTCTTCCGATTTCTCCCTGACAACAGGATGCGGAGGAGGGGACAAGGACAGTGGGTACTCAATACAATTCCAGCAAGCATCTTTCAGTCAGTTAAACTTGAGCGTACAAAATAATTAGCAGCTTGTAAAATGTATTATAAGATACATAAATGAGATGAGACAAGAACATGGGGAAATAAACTGCTTACCTTTTCTCCCTTGGGCCCTTCTATCCCAGGTAATCCAGGTGGACCCTGACAAACAGGAAAATACAATCAAATGATGCCACATGCTCATAAATCTCTGAGATATCTATCTAAATTTGTTTTGTTGTCCACAACTTCCCACCACAAAGTCATGTCTGTTTCTAGAAGCCCGCAGCTGCAATTTCAATTAGCTAAAGTCTGAGTGGCCACTATTGATTTGAAAAGTGCCTTGTGGGTCTCTTCTGATAAACTGAAACGCTGCAGCAGTCCAGCTGGTGCTGCAACAGCCGGAGACGGGCAAAGCTTTAACAATCATTTGGTAAATCAGTAAATGGTCAAATTCAACTTATGAAATGCTGGCCTAACAAAGGTTGGACGTAAAGCACCTATTGGACCAAAATGTATTGACATCTTTCATCCACAGAGTAAACACATGGACACATGCTTGTGTTGGTAATCCCTGGAATTTACGCAACCCCAGTACGCCTTTTCGGACAGACATCACTTGGGACAGTTTCTGAGAATGATGTGTGGGGCACTGGCAGCCAGTGGAAAAAGGCTATTTGTGTCTGAGCTAAATGTAGAGCGTTAATGTGCTGCTGTGTTGCATGGGCCAGAGAAATCCCCATCTCCTGCTTTGCAGGAACTCTCAAGTTTAAGAGGAGATGGGGGTAATATGTTCTTGGAGGACTAATTCTTAACACCTTGGATCACTAGAGACAGTCAGTGCTCACAGTGAATCCTACGTACTGTAAGTCAACCTGTGGGAGGTGTGTTAGAATGGTGTAAAAGATGCTAATGCCAGATCTACAGTACACTATGCTGTGATAACCATGATGTTTGGGAAGAGTTTAGGATCCTACCTGAGGACCAGAGGGACCAGCGGGCCCGCGGGGGCCTCGGACGCAGGCAGAACCTTTGTCCTCCTTGCCCGGCTCTGACTCACCACTGTTATTTGAAATGTCTTCATTCTGGAAAATGAAAACAAAATTCTGTATTTCTTTTACAGCTTTGACTGTTTCGATAGAAGCGAGTCAACAGAATCACATCTTTCCAATATTTGATGCTGATAAAGAATCCATCCCATTCTTGACATAACAATTCACAACCCTCAGCAAGAGATTTGTTCAGCCATTTCTTCCTGCAAACAGGTTCCAGCATCTGAGTGTTTTAATGGTTTATCATTCGGGGGTCAAAGACAGTAAGTGTGGGGCGGTTTGGATATCACCCAAGGACACATCAACAGTCAGATATTCCACAATAGAGAGTCACGTGACTTCTACTCACATGAGCATGGCGGCGCCAAAGTGAAGGGGGTGGAGGAAACAGTGGGGGTGGAGGCGGACTCAGTAAACAGCATGGGCTGAATCTCTTCTGCTGCTCCGGGGATCGGAGAGCTGTGCAAGGTGTGCATGCAGTCAGTCACACAGGCGATGATGCCAGGTGTCAAAATTAGAAGAGGACAGTCGGAAGTCATGTTTATGTTGTCTTAACTTCTGCAACAACTGAATGTGGAGCCTCTTAATCAAAATGAGAAAAGTAATACTTAACTTATGACACATTGACAAGCACGGTTAACTGGGGTACATATAATGTGACATGTTGCCAACAAATATCCCACACATCCAGTAGAAAATGGACAAGTCAAAGAGGTTAGAACATGCAGGAGCAACATAAGGGACAGGTAAACAGGTGCAAACTATCAAATCATGACGCCCGTCCGGCAGAGTTGAAGCTGAACACAGATATGAAGTGCCTGTGCCTCTCACTAAAGGACTGGAGCTGGTTTTGCTATTTATAGAGGCATTTTCAGTTTACCTCATGGGCGAATGAAAACAAAAACAAGTGTATTTTACATAGATAATGAGCCTAAAATGGATCCAAAACCTAGGCATTTAGTATCCATGCTTTTACAACCCAACTCTCTCAACACCTGTGCATGCATAGTACTGTATGTACAGTACAGTACACACGCACACGCGCGCGCACGCACGCACACACACACACACACACACACACACACGCACACACACACCGAGAGAGACAGACACTATTCTTACCCACTGGGAAGGAAACAAAGCTGTCCAGAAAAGAGGATTGAGCCAGGCCATAACAAAACCACAGTGGCAGATACAGTCCAAGTGTTAGAAGAGTCATGCTTCTCCAGATAGTTGCCTGACTTTATCTCTGAGCCTCAGCAGCCCTCACACGCTGCCTCTCTCTCCTCACTGTCCTCTCCCTGTGCTCCCCTCCCTCTCTGCTCGCTCTGCTCCGTCTCCTTTACGCCCTCACAAGAGGGTACGCTGACCAGTGCCCATTAAATCTTTCCTCTGCATCAGTGTGCGCTAAAATTACAGGAGACAGCCCGCCAGCTGCTTCGAGTGCCAATATTAGATCTCTACTACTGCAGGGGGTGTCTTTTGTTGTTTCCACTCCTCTAACAGGGACACTTATCATGACTAACCCACGGTGGTGGGCTTTTCTGCAACAGATTCTGCATGAAGGTGTCCTTTGTGCTTCCTGAGACAACTTTCACATCTGTTAACATGTACTTTTTAGTCCATCTTTTTGTATGCAGTACACTGTGTATCCCCCTGTGCATTATGATGTCCATTTAGTCTAGAATAAATTGGTTTTATTAAGCAGTCTGTGCCACAAAGTTAAGTGCCTGCATTTACATCGAGGCTCTTTGGGGGATACGAGACCTGTAAAACTACAAATCCAAGCAACGCTAATTAACACTTCAACTGTAGTGATATGAAAATGATATATTCCACATACAGTATACTATTCTTGCACAAGTGGAAAAAATGTATCATTTAAGTCTGCAGGAGATTGTGAAAAAGAATGCAACTTTATATTAACTAATACACAATCATTAATCAAATAAGTGTCACTTCTGCTAGAAACCCTCTGTCCAAGATGTTCTGAGATGTGAAATAAGAGGGTGTACATTTATGCATGTGCATTATGCAAATTTGACAAATCTGGACCAAGAAGTGTTTTTCAGCACTGAGTCGATCATAAAATGACATTTTCACCAGCATACAAATAGTTTAATGAGCCTGCAAAGGACTGGGGGGGGGCATTTTAGGGATCTACATTTCTGTCAGGTGGCTCCACCCACTCCCATATTGGGAGTATTGGGAGCAGGTGTGGGAAGCCACACACCTGGAGCTGATCTCCTCATCATGAGAGAATTGGGGAGTTCATTTTGTGACGCACATGTTGAGAGTGAGGAGCTTGCGGTGTCTTCCTCCCAAAGTCTCTGGGGCAATTCTTTAGGGTATTTTGAACTATTATGATGTCTAGAGGCCTGGCTAAAGTCGTTTTTGGTTTTCTACTTGAAGTGATAAGGCTCTTCAGGGAACTAGATTTGTTTTGTTGTAAGACTTTGGGTTAGGGTAAATACAACCTTTAGTTAAGCTGACCGTCTTTCATTGCTGCGCTACCACTGTTTTCCCTGTCCTCCACCCAATCCTGTTAGAGTTAAATACTGTATGTTAATCACATTAGGAAACAAACAGATTTTACATGAACAAATAAAGACAATGTTCAGTGTATGTGTAAATTTGTTTTTATTGTAATATTAATTATTTTGTTCATTTTAATACTACTGTGTAGTAAGAATTCATTTAAAAAAAAAAAAAAGTAGTTGTTATTTCATGGAAACAATCACATAATATTTATATATATTTTCCCAGTTTGAGTTTACTGAGGAAAACAGTCACTGCTGGTCTGATAATGTTCTGGACAGAGCAGGAGGCAGATCCTTCTTTCAGTCTATAAGTTGGAGAGTGTGAGCCATGGGAACTCCTGCAGACAAGACAGCATTATATTAGACCTCCTACGATGATTGACCGATACATATATCAGCTCTATGTTGAGTCCATTCAGTCTCCACATTCCAAAACTGACTTTTACCAGACAACATAAACAGTTCTTCCTCCACTGCCTAAAACTCAACTTCAAATCTGAATATGGATAACAGTTAGGAGGCAAACAATGAGGGCAGCACATCTCACAAGGTGATAATTCTTTCTCCTGGTCACAGAGAGCTCAGCACCATGGATACAGCCCTCAATACAGCCTTCAAACATGTCTGCGAAGGGTTGCATGGATACATTCAACATAAACACAGAGGGCCACGCTTTCTAATTATGGGGAACCTGAAATAGAAAGGTCAGGTTAGTGTGAGGTGGAGGGATTGTGAGAGGAATACAACAGTTCTGCAGTGCACCTGGAGTGTGCGGATTACTGTTCAGTAAAGCATGTCGGTCACGCAGCCCTATAAGGATGAGACGAGAGCCAAGTAAACACCAAGCTGTTTCTTGCTCTGCACTACTCATGAACCCGAGTGGCTGCTGCTTTTAAATCACGCCTGGCTTTACTGCTGTGACTCTCAATGTCATTGGACATCTCCTTTCTGTTCTACTTTTCAATTCAACTCGATAAAATGTGGTACCAGACGAGACTTAAGATCTCAGTCGTTATGACCAATGCCAAGTTCATGACACATTAATCCTGACTCTCTGGTAGTCTGCAACAATTCTGCATAGGTCATGGATTCGGGCAGCTTATAGGTCCTGGACCATAAGGTTGGCCAATCTGGGACTGCACAGAATTCTGGACATGTGGATTTAGCTATGGAAATATATTATGAAGCTAAAGGTATTCCGTTGTAATGACAGACGGGAAACCCTCAACGTTTATCCGGTGGAGGTGCCATGTCTCCACGTGAATAAGGACCGTGTCAACCATTCACATTTGACCGTCGCCAGATGAAGTCCCAGCCCCCTTGGATGGGGCATTGACCATGTTGGAGAAAAGCAGACACAACAGCGTTTTTTAAGAAGCAGGAAAGTGACAATGCAGCATAAATTACATGCTCAACCACCAGGGGGCGTGGCATTCCCACAGCTGGGGATTTCCTTCACAATAAAACTACAGTGGATTTTTTTCATTTTGACCTGTACTTCTCAGGATGACTGAGAAGACACATTCCTGACAGGTGACAGTTACCTGCTGTTTTCTGTCAGAGGACGGGTCAATGAGCACATTTAGGAGACTTGGTCTCTCCCAGTCACTCAGGCTGAGCTGTAAAGCACTGCGCAGCTCCTCCACCGTCCTCACCAGGAACCCTCGACCTCCAAACGCCGTCATGACCTCATCATAGCGTGCCTCGGGTAGGAGGGTCACAGGAGGGGCACTGACATGCAACATAGTGACTTAGGATACATTTCATTGCATCAAAGCTGATTACATGTAGCAAACCATTATGGTGAATGTGTTGTGATCATTTGCCAAATAATGTGTAACTCACATAGAGGTCAGATCTCCCATTTTTGCCATTTCTTTCCACGTCTCAGGATCCACTCCGCTGTAAATGCCATTATTATTGACCACAATGATGACCACAGGTAGATTATACCTGTTAGAAAAACAGAGTAAATGTGCAATTAAGTAGCAGTCGGGGATTAAAGTGTATAGAGAGGGAAGCAACCAACCCACCTGCACATGGTTTCAACTTCCATGCCAGAAAATCCAAAGGCACTGTCTCCTTCCACACAGACTATCCTTCGGTTTGAATGCTCGCTCCTCTCCACAGTGGCTGCTGCTATAGCAAAGCCGAGGCCAACTCCCATTGTTCCAAATGTACCAGCATCCAACCTGCACACCGTCAGGATTAGCGAACAACAATCTAGTCAAACTTAACCAGACTCGAAAGCTCACTTTAGGCAAACACAGTTAAACATTTGTCCCTGAAGGTTTGTTCGTCTCCTTCAGACATGGAGGAGACATGAGGTCAGGGTGGGAGTGCTGGCTCAAAGTGGAATGCAAGAATATTTAAAGCACCTGCTTAAGCATAGTTGTTGGGAAGGGCTCTGACAAAATACCCCAAAACGACAGGGTCTTTGAAATGCCTACAATGATACCGTACCTGTCTGGGGTAGCCAAATTCAGGAAAGCATTTGGGGACAGGCATGAACACACAGAGTAAGTTCAATAATTCAATACATAAACATTGATCTGGAGTGAACACAATTGAGAAGTGTGTCTTTAAGAGCTGCTTCGATAAGACTGCCTTGCCTGTGTCGAGGTAGGTAGTTGTTCAACATAGTGCGTCCTACGTCCATAGTGTTTGCACCCTCGCTGACGATGATACAGTCATGTGGCAACAGCTGGGAAACGTGATGAAACACTGTGTAGTAGTTCATGGGCACTGTCGACTGAAGAGCGAGCGTCTGTCGAAAGACAAAGGGCCAAAATGCAGAAATAATAATACAATACAGAACATCTATATGGACCGAATACATAGCTATATTAAATATAGCTGTCATCGGCATGTGACATTCCGATAAACAGTTTGAGTAACCACCCAATTTAACATATTTCAGGCTTTTCAAAAGTGAGTCTAAACCCACCTTTGATATTTTTGCATTAGCAACAATTTTGTCCTTCAGTGTGCTCCACCACTCTGAATCAGAGGCATATTTCCAGCCGTCTTTACGGACGACCTCCACCAGCTGTGGAACAAACAAAAAATCAAAGACATAATTACTTTCCACAAACACCCATATGAGCGGTTCTTTTATTACTGTAATGCACATCGGGCAGAAGCACACAGACCACAAAAAGAGAGATTAATCAAAAATGTGAGAGTTTGTGTGCTGACTAAGTTACCTGAATGACAACAGCGTTGATGTCTCCCAGGAGAGCAACAGCAGGGCTCACATTGTTCCCCATCTCCTCAGCACAAAGGTCCACCTGTATTCAGAGCACAATTGTATTGTGTTGTTACAGCACAACATTTGCAGGGACAGTGAAACACAATGCAGGAGATATGGCAAAGAAACACATAAATAAACTGCATGTATTTACACCAATGCTGAAATGAATAGGCAAATTCCCCATTAGCTTCATACGCATGAGGTAACGGTAACGCTATTTTGTCACAGGCAACACAGATTTGCAGGGCTAGGCCCTTTACATGCCTGGATGATCTTGACATTGGGGTTGAATCTAGGTGGCAGACCAAAATGTAGCATCCAATTCAGCCTGGCTCCAAGCAGAAGCACAACGTCAGCCTGGAGAAGAGCTCTAAAAGAAACAACGGAGGAGAAGGCGGGGCAACATTGAGTTCAGACAAAAACTTCTGAATACAAACATTTAGTGCATCTTTAGAATTAACAGTATTAGATATACCACCCTACATCTAAATTAAATATTATAATAATTGCGACATGTTTACATTTAAGAAGTAACAGGTTCAGTATGTTTCCGTCGTATATTGAATGATAATATTGGCTAAAATCACACTTTTTGATTCCTGAACATTTTTATAATGAAAGGGAGGCTGACCTCGAGCGGGCAGCAGCCACACAGTTGGGGTGATCATCAGGTAGGACCCCTTTCCCCATGGGGGTGGGCAGAAATGGCAGACCAATCATTTCCACAAACTCCCTCAGGGCCGTTTCTGCTCGGCCATAGGCTGCTCCTGATGGGCACAACAATACTCATATTATCATGACTTATCTATTCCAACTACTCCGGTTCACCAGTGACGGAGGAAATATAGCGTTTCAGGCTTATTCGGTGTAATAGAGAGAGAGTGCTGATGTGTCTTTCGATCTTGCCTTTGCCAATGATGACTAAGGGTCTTTTAGCTGCTTTCAAGACAGATATGGCTTCAGCGATTGCTCCGTGGTGAGCCAAACTCACAGGTGGAGTTGGACAGCAGGACACAACTCTGCAGGAAAAAACACACTTCTTTGAATGCCAATACACCTGGAATTACAGAAGTGATACTATGCAGAAAAAAACAATTTTAATAATGCTAGCACACCTGACTTTGCTCCTGTCCACTTTAGCATTGACCATGTCCCCTGCAATATCCACATAACAAGCACCTGGACGCCCATACATGCTGGTGCGAACTGCCTATGAGCAGACAAACACAATAAAACGTACTATCATCAAACCATGCAAAATATCTTACTTAGTCTGCTGTGATAAAGGAAACTAGACAATCAAAGATCAGACAATGCAGCTGGTGTATTACCTTCTCTATCACTGAAGGAATGACGTCCAGGCTGCTGGGTCTGGCAGAAAACTTGCTATAAAGGCGACATGCTTCCACCTAGCAACAAATGAAATACAGTGTCAATTTAATGAGACATCAGAAGGCATAAATCAGCATGAAGGCGTGCATTACCTGAGGAAACTCCTGAAAGGCTCCTGCTGTTTCCTGGTTTTGATCTGAGGAGCCTCCAATAACAACCACTGGCCTGAGCAAAGTGCAAAGGCAACATACACTTTAAAAGTCAATGTGACCATGGCCAACAGGAGCCATTTAAAAGCTGTTTACACTGTCAGCTGCATGAAAGCAGCATCATGTTATTGAGTTATACCAGCAGTTCATGTTAGCGTTGGCCATTCCGCCCAGAGCATGAATGAGTCCAGGTCCAGACACCACCAGACAGGAACCTGGTCTGGATACAAACAACCACAAGAGAGAGCAACATGTAAGATACAACCGGCTGCTCACATTATTATGTTCAATTACTAAATGACTTACCTCCCAGTGAGGTATCCAATGGCAGATGCTGCATAGCACGCCTGTTGTGTGACATCATGTATTGCATGTTAAATTAAAATATAATGGTGGTTGTTAAGGATTATGCGTGAAATGCAGGTAAACAACAGTGTAGTGGAATAGCAATAAGAAGTGTTTTTACCGCTTGTTCGTTGCGCATTCCCACATATTTGATCCCTGCAGCCTGAGCTGCCATGGCCACTTCTATGACAGGAACGCCGACTATCCCAAACATGTACTCCACTTTCTGCAGGGAAAGAAAACGCTCTTCAACAAACAGACACTGAAGTATACGAGTTTTAAAAGGAGATGCGATCGCACGCAGCCATTAAACCAGCCTTTTCTGCATTCAAAGTTTAAAACTACTTTAGACTGCGCAGCACGTGAACTTTGACACATTTTTTTATACGCGATAGGCCCACACGCGTGGTTACTTTATTACATTTTAGTGCAGTCACCGCTGGCAGGTTCGAATCAGAAGTTAGAAACTTAACAATCTTCACAATCTGATTCTTAAACGCTCTTACCTGAGCCTTTAGCGACTCGGCGATCAGCTGAGCTCCTGTCACTTCGTCCATGGCTGTTCAGAGGCTGCTAGTTACGAGTTGCTTCACTGCTGTGTGCCTGCAGGACTGCGGTAAAGTTCAGCAGACACTCAGATCTCCGTGGTCAACTCAGCAGACACTTAAATTGTAGTGCACATATACGCTGAAACTTACGGTAAACGTAAAGCGTCTTTATTCTTTGATTTGAGGGTTGCTGGAAGTTAATAATACCTGACTGACGGTCAATTAAGATATTTTACGAAGCAAAAACTCGGAACTGAATTTTTATCTTCAAATGGCACATTTTTTAAATGTTTATGGTGCTATAAAAATGTTTTTCTCAATAATTCCACACAACGACTAATGCATATATGTTCAGGACAAAAATGGGTAATATCACAATATTTAAGGTGCTACAAAAATATTTTTCTCAATAAGTCCAGACAATGACTGACATGTATGTGTTGGGGACATCGTTGACTCCACCCATACTGAATATTAGACATTTTTACTGTACCAATTAAGAGATATTTCAAATTAAAACTCATACATTTGAATTCTGAAAATATCTAATAAATGGATATTTAAAGTGTAATAAAAAGTATTTTCTCAATAAGTCCAAAACATTTTCATAGCACCTTAAAAACTTCAGAAATTTGCCATTTGAAGATATAAATTCAGTTCAGAGTTTTTGCTTCGTAAAACATCTTAATTGACTGTCAGTCAGGTATTATTAATTTCCAGCAACCCTCAAAACAAAGAATAAATACACTTTACGCACAATTTAGGTGTATTTTCCCTTTAACTCACGAGATGATGGTATCATTTTTTATACTTATTGGAATATAATTCATTTAATCTCATTTCATTATGCAATATATATACTTTGTTGGCATCTTATTTTGAAAACCGGATGTTCGTCTGTAGAAAACCGGAAGTTTCCACGTTAATCTTTCCGCTAACTTTGCAAAATCCTTCGCTCGCTCCCGTCCTGTGCCGTTTGGTTGCGTTTACCGTAAGTTTCAGCGTATAGGTGCACTACAATTTAAGTGTCTGCTGAGTTGACCACGGATATCTGAGTGTCTGCTGACTTGACCGCAGGTGTAAGGCCAAACTGTCATAAGGTATTGAGAGACTACCAGCAGGACTGTTGTCGTCTTCTTCTTCTTCTTCTTCTTCTTGTTTGAGGTTTATTGGCGGTTGGCAAACAATGAATTCGTGCAGTACCGCCACCAACTGGTATGGAGTGTGGATCAGGATGTCTAATAGGCTACTTCTATAAAAATTTAAATTCAAAAGGAAAAGGCCACAGAGAGTGCCGCTGAGTGCCACAGAGTGCCACAAAGGTGCCAGTGCCACAAGAAGGATCTCGCTGTCTCTCGTCATTTGTGACGCTTTGCCTTCGCTCTTGAGAATCATGTGTGACGTCATTCTATGCGCCAGCTGTGGCCGTTTGGAGACCGAATGCGTCACCGCGGCTGCCCCATCTAGAATACTCCTTCCAATGTATAAATACGGAAATGAATAAATAAAAGAATAAAAAGATGATGAAATAAATACAGAACTAATTAAATGCTCAAATGTATTCCTTCATTTATTTATTTCTGTGTCCGTATGTTAGTGAGGTAGGCGGTCCGAACCTCATTCTTAAGCATGATGGTCGAGTCGTGGAGCAAGACAGAAGCAATCGATTCCTAGCAAATCATCCCTGTGGACGACGTCAAAAAACTAGCTAGCAGCACTCATGGCTTCGACCGGGCGGCCGCTGGCAGACCTGCTGCGGGATGTGGCTGACCAGCTTGAGAGCTGTGAGTTTCTTCTGTTTCAACGTATAAGCAGCATAACAGCAGCAGTTGTTTAGCTAAATACTGTTGGTCAAAGTACCAATATACTCTATTAAACTGAACTAGGCAACCATGCGGTGGACGGTAGGTTTCTGCAGGGAACACTTTTCCATGCTAGATCCCTTGTGTAGACTAAATTACTATCGCCGGTGATGAGTGATTTATTTATTCATGCTGTGCGTCAGATCGCATTCCTGTAAAGTGTGCGATGATATCGTTAGCCAACATGTGTCTTCTGCAACGTCCTTATTCTCTGATTATAGCTTATCCTCTTCACTTGATTCTAGCCGAGGTTTCAAGACCGTTTGGTCCATATATTGGAGGGAGAAGGAGGCGAACTGTTGCTGCGCCTGCACGGCTTCATTCGTACACTCACTCTTTCTGTTGTATTGAGGACAAACCGATAAGCCAGAGACAGACTTGCTGCTGCAGGACTAGGGGGGAAACGTCTTACATTCCAAGGTAAGTCAGGCATCATGATGGACAGACGTATTTTTCTTGAATCAAGTTACCTTTCAAAAACATTAAACGTTATTATATGTCAAGTTAGATCGGTTGTTTGGATTATTATCTTCTATTTCCAGGTAGTCATACTGATCCAGATGACTTTAGAGAATTTATTTTAGAGGCATATCCAAAACTCAGACAAGGGGGAGGATTTGAGTTGCTCAAAATCTCTGGAACAACACGAAGTCGCCAACTGATCATCATACCATGTCCCAATGAGGGTTACCATGTGAGACATTTGAAAGATCCACAAACACAGATTGGTCACGCTACAATTTTCATCCGACCACTCCAAAGAATCCTGAATCTGGAAACCTGTAAGATCCTCACTTTTAAATTGGTGTTCCCATATAAAAATGGCAAGAGTATGACCATTTACACAAGTATAGCTTGTGTTACATTTTAAAATGATCTTGTTTACAGGCATGTCAACCAGAATGCAGTAATGAGCTAGTTGGACCACCTCAGAAATGTGACGTGTGGAGAGGAGTTCCCTCTTACAAGAATCAAGGCTCACAGTGATGAGTGCGTGAGGTATCGCTCTACAGAACTAAAACGTCACATTTGTCAAGCACTCAAGTAGTCGTACATCAGACATGAAGCATTAGGCTCTGGAGTCTGCCAAAAGATGTAAAGCATGTTGAATGTTTATGATCCTGAATATTGGTCTTGAGGGAAAGATGAATTTGAATGGATTTATTGTATTCTATTGATATGACCATTCTTTTCTAGTTGCAGTGTTTTTGTGAATGTGTAATATAAAATATACTAGCCCCAATAACAAAACGTGCTTCTCTTTACCCAAGACCATCACAGAGCAGTGGTGAGGTAGAAATTGCCTCCCGAAGTGAAGGTAGATTTGTGAGCATGTTGACAAGACTACAAGTGAGACAACAAGGGCCAGCAACACAAACTACTGCGTGCCACCTCTCAGGGACGTGTGGCTGCTCCTGAGATAGTTGACCTGGATCCCACTGAGGAGAGAGGCTTCCCAGGTGTGTTACGTCATTTATTGCAATAAATTGTTGCTCTCTACATATCAATTCATCCAGTATTAATTGGAAAATTCTTTCAAATCCCAGTGAGGCAGCAAAGAGATTCAAAGACGACATTTTAAGCCGGCATGCAACTGGAAAATCATTCTATCTTACCATGGATCTTGGAGACAGTGCAGAGGACAGTTCTTTCTTTTTATAAGATGGCTAATGTTGAGTGGGCTTGCCCCTTGACATGCACACTCAAGGGTAAATTGGTTACACACGCAAAACTAAAGATAAAAAATGATCATATGTTCATTTAACTGATGTCTGTACTGTGTATTTTGCTTTTTCAGGAGATCCAGCAATTGGTGATGGCGTGACTCGCCATTTCTTTCCAAGCATCATGTCCAAACCTCAGTATGGTATTGAGATGAATTTTGGTAAGTGAATATTCACTTTGGCTGCTGGCTGGTTGTCAGCTATCGGGCTCTGTGTTTGGTTTGCATCAGTTCCAGGCTGACAACAGATCTGTCTCTACTTACCCAGAGAATACCTAAAACCTTAAAAAACAAACAAATGTGACGCAGCTGCTGTGGCCCTGTAGGTTTCTACAGGATCACCCAAAGTATTCAGTGGCTGATTGATATTTCCTTACTAATTCTGTATGAAAGTTTGAATGTCTATGTCCTTTACATTCTGCACTGTCAATGTTCTTTCACTTTTCTTTTTTAATTGAAGTACCAGGAGGAACTCTTCTTTTTGAGGGAGAACAAGATCATCGGACTCCCTCCACTTGGCATTACCTTTTGGAGAGTGACTTCTTTGTTGTTGCTGGCCGAATGATTGGTCATTCCTCCATAATGGGCCATGCCTTGGAGGACTCAGCCCAGCTATCCTGCATGTGCTCTTTGGTGGATCCCCAGAAGAAGCCATAATAGATATTAAGGACTGTGCTGACCTTGACACAAAGTGGTAAAATACATTTTTCCAGTAAGATCTTAATGATAAAAATTCGGGGCAAGGACAATAAAAGTAATGCCTGATGTCAGAAATGTTTCTCAGATATTTATAATACCACAATCACATCATTTACTAATTTAAACCAGCAGGGGGTGCTGAAGCAATATTAAAACCATAAACGTAAGTCCATTTCTTTAAAACATGTAATTATAGTGATGGATGTCATCATGTAAAATGTGTTTTTAGAATGTGCCCTCCCCTGATTGGTCTAGACTCTAGAGTGTAAAAGGGCTTACAACACTATGATGGAAGTATGTGATGATGTGGCAATGAGCCAGTGTGAGTACCAGTACTCAGAAAACTTAAGCTGCTCAATTGAATAAAGCGATCATTGATTCAATTATTTACACCTGTGCTTTTCCTACTCTGACATGTGAAAATGTATGAATGTAAAACTGCTTCGAATGTGTCACATATTTGACAAAATGAAAGGCAACACTTCATAAAAAGACTCATGTTCATTATTAAATAACTCATTTCTTTATTACTCATAAAATATACAGCAATCTCAGTACTGAAAGAATTCATTGGAGCGTTGAATTCACAGTAATAATTTCTATATACATGCTAGTTTCATCCCTCTTCAAGGAAAAGAAAAAAACATCTTTTCCATTCTAAAGAAGCTAGCAAATGTATTGTACATATTTCCAGTTAAAAGGATATTTCAACAGACAAAAGGGAAGATTTGAATCATGGTAGGATCGAGTGGTTTCTTTTTTTTTTAAGTTAAAGCAAGCAAAACCTGTCAACAAACATTGACTATAAGAGCAAAAAATATCAAACAAAATCAAACGCTATCCTATCATTGGTTTACAGTGTTTCTTCTCACAAAGCTGAGCGTCAGTACAGGATCAGTGCTTCTTAGAAATGTTCCATTACTTACCTAGTGCGCATCACTGTACTTTCACAGCTGCCTCAACAAACTCATCTTTTCTCAGTAACTAATGAAGGCACAAAATGAACACATAAATAGGAAGCGAAATTACACAAATAATTTATTCTTCAAAGACTAAACCGCAATGGACAGGTCAATATACAAAGGTAAGGTTGATCAACTTAAAAATAACCTGCCGCACATATCAAATGTTTTTAAATTATTCAGGTCGCTAAATCAGATTTCTTACTGAGGGATAACGAGTTTAAGACATGAACATGGGTGTATTAAAAATGTTTGATCTCAAAAAATAAATGATTTTCCGGCTGTATGACTTACAGACTCGAAGGACAAGTGCATTCTGACGGATGTAGTGTGCGGACATCAACCTTCTCTAACTCATCAAGAAATCCCCAAAATGAACCCCCCTTCCCACCTGCTAACCAATAAACCCCCAAATTCTCAATCTCATGTACACAGTTAAAACTGGGTTAAAATGCATCCATGCCTTTTGGTCCCCGTCGGTTTAGCTCTCTGAAGTGCTACCATCCCTCTTCAGCATGTTATTGCCGTACAAAAGTCGCTGTCTGCCCAACAAGCGCAGTTTTTAGCACTCTAGAAGTCAAGGTTGGTAAAGCAGCGGTTACTGAGGTCCAGTATCAGCTGAAGGACACCTGGTGCTGGATGAGGTCGGGATGAGTGTGGGCCAACATGCTGCACCTCCTCCCTCTCTCCTGTGTGTGTGTGTGTGTGTGTGGGGGGGGGGGACTCTTAAGGCTCCTGTGGGCGCTTCTCTTGCTTCTTCTGCCCTCCCAAGCTGGCGGTGGGTGATTTTTAAGACACAGTGTGTGTGTGTTTATGCATTTTATCGCTCCCTCCTGTCCCCTCAGTACGTCTCCGAGTCCGAGTCATTCAGCTCTTCGTCCTTGTAGAGCCCGTCTTGATGGCTGATGTTGTTGAAGCTGCAGTAGGAGCTGTGCTCGCCGCGCAGCACGGGCAGGCTGTCGAAGGTGACGCTCTTGGAGGGGCTGGTGGTGTAGTGGTTAATGGCACTGAAAGGGAGGGTGGGTGCCGGGGCGCAGGGGGACACAGGCATCATGGTGGCCAGGATTAGGGCTAGGCAGTCTGCCACATCTTTGTTGGGGGCACAAGCCAAGGCGGGTGTGTAACCTGTGAACAGTGACAGTATACCAACGTTACATACTATATAACAGAAATACACAGTTTCTGTTTCAAGCATTGGTGTAAATGATTAAGTTAAATGAGTAAACACGGCTTTTTAGATGTATTTGAGGTAAAATCATAACGAGTCTGAGAAGTTTTCATTAAGATGATCTGAAAAATCTGTAAGACCTGAGCCAGGCATGTTTTAATTGCTTGGTTATCAGCAAAATAAAGGTCTGATCCTGTTTTTACCTCTTTGAGATTTGTCTACAGTATGTTAACCGTCGTGTTTCGGAAGTGAACATTAGGCACATGATTTAAAAGGTTAATGAGCAGCTAAAATGTTGTGGATGTGTGGACTAATTGAAACTGGTAAATAAAAGCAGTCCAATAGCCATTTGGATGAGGATTTTTTAATAATTACTGACACTACTATGTCCATTAGTATCGATGTTTAGATGGGACTTCCTGATGTACTGTAAAAACCCCAAATATATGAAAGGTGCTGGTCTATAGTAATAGAAAAACAACATTGTGAATTTACCGTTTTCATCGACTGCAAGTACGCTGGCTCCCTTTGCAAGCAGCTCCTGCACCACCACTGTTAAACCATTTCTTGCAGCCACGTGTAGAGGCCTTGAAAAACATAAAGTATGAATGCACTGACAGGAGAGTCAATATTTCACGATTTGTATCTCTATATTACTAATTCAAATCCCCACAGCAACCAACCCACATTCCCATCGCTCAGATGCAGCAAGAGACAAGACCCTGATGTAATACAAGTGATACATACGTCTGTAAGGCGGCGTTAGTGGCATTTATGAGGTTTCTGTCTGTAATCTTCTCCAATATCAACAAGGCACTGGTTTCATGTCCCTGTGGAAAACAGGTGCAGTACGATACATATCAAAAATCACCAGAGAGTATAGCTTCTAAATGTGCAGTAACACCATTTGTGTGAAACAATGCAACAAACAAACTGTAGGATCAAACTATTACTGCTGCTGCAGAACGTAGGAAGAGTGCCACCATACGGCAATACAAACCTTACTGCAGGCGAGATGAAGTGCAGTGTTCTTCACAGCATCCTGCAGAGTGAGATCTGCTTTTGCACTGCTCACCAGTAGTTCTAACAAGTAAAAGCAGGAAAAACACATTGAAGTTAATTCGACGCAGCACTGATTATTACGTCCCAGAGAGGTGTTTTACAGTCCAGTTATAGACAACATAGAACGAAAGTGGTGAAAGTAGAGAAGCGTTCGTACCGACAGCGTTGGTCTGGCCATTTTCAGCGGCCATCATGAGCGGGGTTTTCCCTGCAGCATCAACACTGTTGACCTGAGCGTTGTGGCTCAGCAGCAGCTGGAGACACTCCACATGGTCAGTGAAGGCTGCTGCATGTAGTGGAGTCCTGCAGACATATCGGAAACAAGGCTCATTTTTCATCATCTCGTCATTATGCCAGCTTTTAATTACAGGTACAAAACACCTGTCTCAAATGAATGTGTATACCTGCTTTTACTGTCTTTGGCATTGACGATGGCCGGGCCCAGAGTGTCTATCAGCATCTCAGCAGCACCTTCGTTGTCATGGATTCTAAAGATGACAAAAGGGCACCATTACTTCCTCCATGAAAGGTTTGTCCTCGCATGCATTTAATTAAACAGAGGACGGCTCAAAAGACCTTACACAGCACAGTGGAGGGGGCTGAAAGCACTGCCTTCGGCCTTGTGAAAAACCTCTTGTTCCAGCAAAACCTCCACACACGTGTCGTGACCTGCAGACAAGAGAGCATTAACTGTCAGCCTTCATCTCCAGGGGCTCACAATCAGGGCTCTTTTAAAATCCACACGTGTTGAAATTGTGCATTTGGGTGCATGAGGAAAATGCATGAAAGAACAAACATGAAAAATGATTGATTGTCCATGCTGATTTTAAAATCTACACTTGCTTAAGTGCTCCTTCTTACTCTCTTGGCAGCTTGCCCGCATTTAAGAGCGTACATTACTAAACATCAGATACACATTCCCATAACTACATTTGATTGTTTGTCTTTTTTAAAGAAGGTTTTCAAACCCTCAACTCTGTACCATTGTAGCAGGCCCAGTGCAGTGGGGTGTAGCCTTGGTTGTCTGTTAAGACGGGGAGTGTTTCCACTGATTGGGCAGCATGCAGCAGGCCTCCCAGTACCCCAATGTGTCCACATGCTGCTGACAGGTGGACTGGTGTGCGCCCTTTACAGTCTCGCACCAGGAAGTTGGCGCTGTGCTGAAGCAAGGCCTCCACACATTCCTCGTGACCGGTCACCGCCTACAGACAGAAAACGGTAGGTGTTAGCGTTTTTTTTTACGGTTGACTGACATCCTGAACGCTTATGCATTTCACATGATTTGAGAGCTGACAGATATTATTACTCCTTCTATAGAAAAAATAGCACAAATCTAAAGTTTACAAATGAAAGAAAATCACATTTGTATATCTATAATATGCCTGGCAGCATCTCAAACATATATACGGTAATATTGAAACGACAACAACATTTTTGGAAGGAAAAAAACGTAACACATAACAGACAAAAAAATGAAGGTACGAGTATAAGTACATATACAGTGGGTAAGTGTGTGTAAGAATGGTAAGATCTCCGTACTCCTCTATGAAGGGCTGTCCTGCCCCACTTATCTTTGGCTTCTACATTGGCTCCTTTATTCAGCAGAGAATACACACAATCTGTGTGTCCACTCAGGACCGACAGCATCAAGGGGGTTCTAAGAGATAGCAGACAGTCATTTCAGCAATCTCTTTAGATCATCAGTGGGGAAAAATAAATAAAAAAATCACAAACAAATTTGACTTACTGTCCATTCCCATCTTGAATGTCTACTGCACTTTTAAGGTCAGCATTACCAATCAGCAAACGCAAACATTCTGAATGACCATTAGTTGCTGCAGGGAAAGAAGGAACACACCATTAGCATAGCCATAATAATACTAATACACTTTATTCATGTGGCACCTTTTAAAACAATGTTACAAAAGGCCTTTACAAATGAAACACTAAATAAAAACAAAACCACACCACAAATAATCCCGGCCAATTAAGGTGGAGTAAATATAATACCAAACATGTTATATTAGATTGTAAAACATTCAGATGTAGGCAGCTTCATGTGCCACCGAGTCCAGGTCCATACCTGCAGCATGGATGGGGGTTCGCTTCAAAGTGAAGTCTTTGACCAGGATGGAGGCTCCCTGGTTGATTAGGACGTCCACACACTCTACGTGGCCCTTAAAGGCCGCCAGGTCGAGAGGCGTGCGCCCTTGGCTGTTTCTCACATCCAGATCCAGCAGAGACTGCACCAGAACCTCCATAGCGTGGTGGTGACCGTGGTATGCCTGAATGGTTCATTTACCATGAATAAGTTAACATAAATTAGATGAGATTGAGGATCGTGCCGTGATAAGGAATAGCAGGACAAGGATAATACATAATCACTCACAGCGAGGTGCAGGGGGCTAACGGGCGCTCTGACATCGGAGTCATTCAGGATGTCTGTCCCTGAGGTTTCCATTAGCTGAACAAACCGGGTGCACAAGTTAGAATCGACTTCAGATATAAGCGCAGAACTACAGATATGAAGGGCATGGCCTACTCTGAAAGCAAAATTCACAAAAAAATATCTGCACAATGTACTGATGGCTCCCAACAAATTCAATTTAACATGACCGTCACAAAGAAGAACAAGCAATAAGAGAAGAAGAAAAGCAAACATTAAACTCACCACATCTAGAGGTGTTTCACTTGCAATCTGTGTGAGAGTGGGAGAAGCACCAATCAATTAAATAATTACAATATAGAAATACACAGATGCTGGTTGTTATGCATCGTGTGCACCGGAGTGGAGTTCTCACCAGCTCCAGACAGAGGCGATGTCCATACGCCGAGGCGTAGTGCACAGCATTGTAGCCCTGATTGTCTCGGATCCCTGGATTTGCATCATTTCGCAGTAAATATTCCAGGCACCTGCAGACACGACAAAGAGGCCGAGGTCAGGGAAACGTCACCTACTTACTCAGCATTAACCAATAACGCAACTGAGCTTTTGTTCACAAAAACCCTCAAACATAATAACCCGCCCTCCCGCTCATTTAAGAAAGTGAATTTCCAAAGCATTACTGACTTTCCATCTGTGTCAGCGGCAGCGGCGTAGTGGAGAGGAGTGCAGCCCCGCTCGTCTAGGTCATTGACGCTGGCCCCGGAGCCCACCAGAGCAAACAGGCACTGGTAGTTACAGTTGGCAGCAGCATAGTGCAGAGGGGTCCTGGAAAAGCAAACAGAGCTCAGTTCCCTCTTCAAATTGAACCACGCAACTCGGAGAGAACAAACTCGAGAACTATCATTAAATGCTACAAACCTGCCGAAGCTGTCCTTTCTATTAAAGTCTGCCCCCGTGTTGAGGAGAAGATTGAGACATTCCAGGTTTCTGAGGGGTTCGGGAGATTCATAAAGTTATTTTTGTTATAGGTCACGATCTACATCCCAACACTAATATTAAAGCTGTCCATTATTTAGCTTATTTTAGCTTTTACCATTCAGCTGTCCTGTACTCACCCTCCAGCAGCTGCAGCATGTAAACAGGTCCTTCCAAAGTCATCAGGCGTATCAATATCAAATCCTGCACCAGAGTAACGGATTATGAGCAAGGCCCTTGCACATTGTACACAAGGTTTTACAGTACAGATAATTTAGACTTATACAACCCCAATGACTGACCCATTCAACAAGAAGGCTCTAGCTGAGCGTGCACTATTGTGGGTGGCCAGGCAACATGAATACGGAGTTGCTCACCTGAAGACAGGAGCTTTCGGCAGGAGTCAGAGAATCCACTGAGAGCAGCCAAATGAAGTGGGAACATACCATGAACCCCTCGCCTGAAAGTGACACAATCGTGTTGATTTACTCAGTATCAACCAAATAACGATAGTGCTAAACTAAGGGTAGGAAAGTACTATTAAATTGTACACAGCAATCTCCATCAGTCACATAACAGAGAGCACGTCTATGCTTTTGAAAGGTTTAAACTTGCAACTTCTTCCACAAGGTGTGAAGTTGTAACAGTGGCTGTAAAAGAGCAGACGGGCTCACTTACTTAGCCGTGTCAGCTCTGTTGGTGATGAGGGTGTTGATGAGGAGCTCGTGTCCGTATCGAGCCGCAATGTGCAGCGGAGTATTTCCGTTCTTATCTTCACAGTCGATCTCAGCACCTTCAGAAAAAAGGAGAGAGAGAGAGAAAAAAAAAAAGAAGCACTTAGCCGATGTTACGCTGAGAGGCACTTGTGCAGTCCAGCGTGAGAAATAAAGTCAGCGAGGCGGAATTTTTCAGAGGAGCTCACCATTCTCAATGATTGCTTGAGACCTAGAAAACCTCCCGTGGATGGCTGTCATGTGGAGGGGAGTCTTACCATCTTTACTCTGGAGGGAAACAAAAACATGGTGCTATCACAATATAGATCATTACTATGGCTTTTAGCTATGAAGTCTATTCCCAAAAACGGAGCTCCAAAAAACAAAAAAAGTCTGACACAATCTGCAAAAAAAAACTAAAGAACTGCTGCTAAATCACCGACCCTAAGCTATACATCTGGAAAAGGAGTGCCAGTTATTAAGTAGCAAGCTTCCCCGGGTCAAATGGAGCAATGTTCTTCCAACGTTATCCGTTCTGAAATGAAGAGAGGCATCGCTTTGGTTTTTTACTCACCTTGATGTTGACATCGGCCCCGTTGCACACGAGCAGCTCCAGACAGAGCGCCCCGTGGCGTGAAGCGGCGGTGAAATGGAGCGGTGCGAAGCCCTTCTCGTTCACCTGGTTTACGTTGGCGCCACTCTCGATGAGCTCGTTCACCACCACGTCCTGCCCGTTGTAGCACGCCACGTGGAGGGGGGTGTTGCCATACGCGTTGGTCTCATTGATCTAGACGGCGAGACAAAACAGGGAGTCGTCATCGCACCATCGAGACGCTGTCACTCTTTTTTTTTTTTACAAACGGGATAAAAAAAAGAAATCTGTCGAGTCATTATCCAAAACATAAGCAGTGGATAAGGCCAGGTTATGAGTTATTAAATGTCTGTTCTCTCCTGATCAGATCATTAGGTCTGGCGGTGAACTGCAGTGTGAGGACAATCAGATTGGTGGTGGAACTTACATCCGCCCCCAAGTCCAGGAGGTATTTGACAACACTGATCATTCCACTGGAGGCGGCTGCATGTAGGGGGGTGTAAGATTTCTTATCTTTGCAGGCCACCTCAGCTCCATGAGATGCCAGCAGCTTCACCACCTCTATGTGTCCTGATGACGGAAAAAAGAAAATGATTTCACTACATGAATACGCATTCAATTTGGTCATATCAGAACACCAGTGTTAACTTTAACATCAAATAATTAATCATTTTGATGCCTTTAAAAGTAGAAGTATTTTCAATAAAGTCCTGGAGACAAGATGAGATGAAGTTACATAGAAACATAATCATGTGGTGTAAAAACGGTTGATTTGTTACCCATGTAGGCTGCCCAGTGGATTGCGCGGCGGTCCCTCTTGTCAAAGGCATTGATGTTTGCTCCTCTGGAGAGCAGGAGCCTCACCATCTAACAGCAGCAACAGAGGAAAAAAAAAAGAGCAGTCAGGAAAAATGTGGAGGGAAGTTACAACCTGCACACTACCAATTCTGCTGCCTTTCAGTCAGCGTGGAAACTCATACAACCATTGTGTGTACGTGGTGTGTAATGCCTTAATACTCCGGTCTACACCATGTACATGCATACAGTTTACTTTGATTTAATCTAATCTCATGAATTACACGTGCTTCCCCAAGGCTATACATTCTTCTTTAAAGTGCTGAGCAAACACAGGTTGAAAGACGTTTTGCATACACACAACACAGGAACATCAACAGCACAAGCTACGCATGAAACTGTCAATGTCCACCGTGCGCCTAAGTTGAAGACTATGCATAAGAGAGGCATAGGCTGTTATCAAGTTGAACAAAGGCTACAGCTGCATTTCCTGACATCTGTATTTGTTGAGTGTTTCATTGGACTATTGCTGCATAACCAAAAGGTTGTTGGAACAGCTTTTATGCGCTTGTTTTGCATACATTGCACTTGATTAAATGAGACACTTTTATATAATTAACTTACATACGAGTACATAAGAAGTCAGTGTGCATCCATGTAGAAAAACTGACGGTCTGAATATGTGTTGTTGTCTTTGGAAAGCAGCTTTATTATATATTTGGTGAGCTTCTCCAACTTTAGATTTGTTCCTGGGGTTTCCATTTGTGCAACTAACTCCCAGATACAAAAGCAGATTTTATCACCTCATCAAAACTCAACCACACACACCAATACAACAGAAGCTCAGTTTACTTATTTGTCTAAATTAGAGTGTGAGAATAGGCCACAGCATAGGCCAAACACTGTAGGTACAAATAACTCACTGCAATATGTTGTGATGGTGATGAATATTTTTCATGAATAGCACTAAATTCAAAAATATATTTTTAAAACTTTGTCAAAGACAATCAGAGAGAAACAAGGATGAGGAACAACTGGCAAATACAGTGTGTGTGTGTAGCCATCTATACAATAAAGAGAGGTGGGTAGTCTGCAGAGCTATACGGGGATGTAGATTGTTTCACTTCACTTCACACTTAAGCCATTGTTCAGTTGTTCCGTATTGGAAAGCCATTGTGTTTACACATTTATGAGGCGAGCAGGCACATCCGGTCAGTAAGAGGAGAAGATCAGGAGCTTCTACGAACAGCCAGACAAACCCATCGGAGTCCGTCTCTATGATCAGCACTGAAGTGGTTCCACTTTTAAAAACACAACAAAGACGGGACAGACTGTGCAGCCACAAAGTCAACACCGACCCTTTAGGTTCGCACGTGTATTGTATCTTATTGCAGTTCATATTCAAATGTGCTGCCATTTTTTATCCATTAAGGTGTGACTCCATCAAAACTAAAAAAAAAAGGTATTAAAAGTACTTCTTTGAGCACAGCTCACAGCGGAATCAAACCACACTCTTGGCTTAATATTACCTCCAGGTGACCGCTGAAGGCCGCATGGTGCAGCGCAGTCCGGCCGGCTCTGTCCGACACGTTCACATTGCTGAGCAGCGGGACGAGGGCCTCGGCGCAGCGGACAGCTTTATTTGCTGCGGCGATGTGTAGCGGCGTCTGCCAGTTCTTGTCTCGGGCGTTTACGTCCGCAGAGTGTTTCAGCAACACCTGGACGGCCTCCTGCAAGACAAGACGTCGTCACATGTTGGTTTAACCTCCACACCGTTTACATGACTAGGTACAGAATCAGAGGAGCGTACACGTACCTCACTGCAGGAGGCCACGGCCCGGTGCAGAGGAGTGAGCCACTTGTTATCTTTGGCATTTACTCTGGCACCTACAAGTCAAGAGGACGCCGGCTGTTAAACTGTTCGAGGTCGTAACAGCTACACGACAATCTATTGAAACATTTCAACAAAATGGCTAATGCCTTTTAGAGAGTTCTGTTTAGTAATATCTCCACCTGCATTATCAGAAGAAAAGAGCAGACTGCAAAGGGTGCATGTAGAGGTATTCTACGATATTGAATGCAGATGCAACATCTGGCCACAGAGGCATTTGAAATATGTCAATTCGCTCTCAGACAGGTTAACGTTGAGGAGCATTTAACACTCCCTTCAATACCCAGAACGGGATTTTAAAAGGTTTAAATGTTATGAGGAACCATCCTGAAATTGGTGCAATCAATTGAGCCATACTGGTCACATGTCAACAAGCTCAAATTGTGACACCAATTACATAATTTATGCTAACTCAGGCCTTCTCCGAGAGAATCCTTCCTGATAAACACATTTCTAAGAATTGTAACATTAAAAGGATAAATGTTGCTTGATATGCGACAATGTTGGAGATGAAAGGTTCCAATTTCTGAATACTGACCTCTAAATCGTCTACACTACAAGAATGACAGAACTTTATACGGCTGTTTGACTTTAACAGCTTCTGTACATGAATCCTCTTTTAAAAACAAAACACACCTGAAAGAATCAGCAGCTCTATAATTTCTGCGTCACCAAGATAAGCAGCAGCATGCAGCGGAGTCCGCTTCTCATTGTCCTGTAATAAGTGAAAACAAAGACATTAATAGAAACAAAACAGAGTTCAAAGTTATCACCTTTTGTTTCTCCTATAGTTTATACAAGTTCATTTGGTCCTGTGACATTAAAGCCAATGTACTTGTTGTAACATTACAATGCTAGAAAGGAGAAACAACCATTACATGTTACAGAAGCACAGTCACCATTCATGGCAAACACAAAATCCAGTAAAATCCTTTTCCTCCAGTGAAACACAAGCTAGTACAAACCAGCTTTATTTTGAATACCAAAGCAGTAATGTTGAGCAATGCAATAAAATAAGCAGAGTCAGATCATGCAGTGGGAACTGTAAAAACAGTCTTTGTGCTTTTTGTACAAACAAAAAGAAAAACAGAAAGAGATATTTGAGGACAAGGACATTTATACACAAGAGATTTTAAATTCTGTGCCGCTGAAATTTAAATAATATGAGGAAATAAGAGTCGGTTGGGATTACCTGTGCATTCACATCCTCTTTTTTGAATATGAGTGAGCGTACTTCATCTGGATCCACATTGAATATAGCTTTCAGCAGAGCAGGCTGTAAAAGAGAGAGAGGCCGTGTCAAAATCAACTGGATCTCAAGACTTTTTCTGGCTGACATTGCAACACTATCTCAGACTCTCATCATGAGAGTAAAAACGTGCAAGGCCAATGACATGTGAGGGGGAACCTAGACTAGAAAACGCCAACAGTATAGATCAAATATGAGAGAAGCATTCTGACCTCGGACACCTTAGACCAGAGAGAGACTTCAGAATCCTCGTCATCAAGCACCACGACACACACGCGGCTCATTTGCTCAGAGTTCACACATTAATGCTTAAAAAGCCCCGATATGTTGTTGCCAATAATCCTTTGAATAGGCACAGACTGGTGCATGGACACGGTTATAAAAAAAAAAAAGATACGAGAGCAGTTCGGTACAGACATTTTAACAAAGCGATGACTCCACAAATCAGAGGATGATACAGACAAATGCTGAGCGGCCTCTTTTCTAATTCTGTTCTGTGTTTAGTGACAGCTGGCAAGCAAAACACGGCACGGAGTGAATTATCACAATATTTGAATGACTACAAGCCCAACACTGTGGTCCAAAAGACTGATTCGCTGTCAGCATCTCCTAAACGGACACAGAGACAAAAGAAAAAGAAAGAAAAGGAAAGCGTCCACAGATGATACAAGTCAAAAAGAGTTTCCAAAGTAAAAGTGAAGTGAAGGAGGTACTTGTTGGAGTTCTTTGTGAAGTCTGACTCTTATCGATCAGACCATTAGAAAGTAGCTACGTTGGCCCCACCCTTCTAGGGGTGTACACAAAGGAAAAGTACTGCTGTCTGTGGGATTTCTACAAAACTGGAGCTGTGCTATTTCAGTAAAATACTGTATAAACCATCACATTTTTCCATTTTGCACAATTTTTTATATTCATGGCTTCAAAAAAATACATTTAAGACTGAAACCATACTAAAGATTTATTGCAATATTTACCCATGTGCAGGCAGCTGAAGTCACGGATTCTAGACAAGGCGAGCGTACTTTGTACTTACTTCCAAGTCTGAAGTGAGAACCCGACACTCCAACACAGCAGACAGAGCGTCTACGACACCTAGTCCATGTAGTTGCCCACATCTTCACAACAACTGTCAGCTTTACGCAACCTCAAGCAATAGCTTCCATATCAGACTGCAGGTGCATTTGAAAACAATTCTACGTTTTTTGACCACCAGCTAGCACAAATCATTTTGACCACATCATAAATAATATGGTTGAATGCCAAAGGGAATAAATTTAGCATAACTTTCTGGTTCATATTTAATGGCGCGCCATTAAATATGAAGACAATAACGTAAGACAATCTTTACCAAGCTGGTAAATGATTGTCACCGCTCAAGTGCTCTTTTAATTCTACAATACATTTTGTCAAATGTTTGCTCGTGATTGTTTTTTGTTACTAACTAGTGTTACATCTCCGTGACTTGTCAAATTGATTCGGAAACTGCTAAAAATCAATGCCCCCATCAACAGTCACAAACTGTAATTAAGTTTGCTAATGAACCGCCATGTTTGCCAGCTCAACACTGCTGCACACCCCTATCTGATCTGCCATAACACCAGTCTGATGAGGAGGCTGCGACGGGTTACCCAGGACAGACCCAGATGCAACAACCGCAGTTAAAACATTTTTCAAGTATAAGTCGGCAATTTAGCGATATTGTGTCAGGTGAGCTACGATCAAGCTTTTCCATTACACGCGAGTAGTTATAACCTTCGAATGGACATCATCCACCCCATGAATCGAAAACAATACGCAAGATGAAGAAGCAGGAAGAGTCCTGTTACAAAAAGTGCAAAGTCAGCAGGTTTTAAATCCACCTGCTGTATTGTTTGGCTGTAGTGAAAACCTTTATTGTCTTGAATTACCTTTGTCAGCCTTAAAACACAACTTTAGGTGGATGGAGCTGCAGTTCTTTCAGCGTACACAATTAGACTGATGTAGTATGCGGAGTACATTTGTTCATTAATCCTCCATCCTTCAGTTAACCCTTCGGGCTACACCAGCTCGCTAATTAGCTAATGTAGCTTATAACACTGAATGTACAAAAGACCTCTGGTTGATAAGGCATAGTTTGAGCCACCACATACTTCACAAAACCCTATCAAATAGAATGAGCGGTGTCTGGATCCAACTATTGTACGGTCTACTAATGGCTCACTATAACATTGTTATCCCGTATCATTCACTCTAAGCACTTAGAGTGAATTGTACTGTATGAAATGTACTCAACTTTTCTGCTGCAAGACGCCAGGATTAAACAAACTTAAAAGTCAAACATTGTGAGCACTACTGTTTTTGATCAAAGAAAAGTCTACTGTGAAGATATATATGTGGTGGCATGGGTAAGATGATTAACCTTTGAAGTATATTGAAACCAACAGGAAAATATAGTCATGACCTCATACAAATGTGAGCCACATGATGCCGTTCAGCAGTCAAATGCATGCGCAATAAGCATTCAGAATAAGCAAGATAAAGATTACCATTACCATCAAGTAGCTTAAAGCCGGTTTGAAAAAAACAGAAGACAATCCTCTCATTCATCATTATCACGCCCATGACTATCTCCAGGGTGCAATAGTGCTCAGAGTTACTAGGGATAAAGTCAGGGTAACAAATGGGGACTTGATTTCATTTTGATGATCTCTGTACATCCCCCCCACAGAGAAGGAAAGACAAATCTGCGTTTTTGTTGTTTTTCAGTTCTCCAGTCCTGCACGACCGGTGTAGGAGATTTTCTCTGCTTCTCCGACTACATGACTGTGCACACCTCCTTTCCTCACACAAGCCAGCCTAGTTAATACCATCACCATGGAGACAGCTCTTTGGCAACTCCACCAGCTCACATGAGGCCAGGTATACACACACACACACACACACACACACACACACACACACACTACATATGCTACAAGAATAGCAGGCCTGTTCAAAACACCCTTATATAAATGATAAGAGGAAGTGTTTGACATAGTTACAGGATGCATGTCTAATAATGTCACATCATGTATTATTACCATTAACGTTACACAGCAGATTACCTGCATGTCTCCCATTCATATAATAAAAATAAATACCTTTAGTAAACAACTTCTTCCTATACAAACGGTTCAATTATTAACAGTATTCACAAGTGGGATAAACAAGACAGGCTTGTGATCAAGGGTATAACTTATCCAACGCTTTAACACTGAGAAACACGCATTAGAAATTAAAGCATCACACTGAGCCTCTCATAGATCGCTGCAGTCAAAACACAGTGGTGGCGTTCAAAGATGTCACATTTAGTTCAGGGCATCGGTTCATAAAAGATACATTATTCATGTCAACATCAACAGATAGCTTTGGCTGTTGTGCTAATCATCTTACACTACATTACAGATATTCAGGGCTTACTATTATTAAACAGAATCCCTCGGAAGCGACACAACTCAAGCCCAGTGTTGCATTGTTTAGTCACAACATGCTAACTAGTCACAACTGAGGAGCTAGTCGCATTTCACGCAGGCTCTGGCTAATAGCTGCAGATCAACACACTGTATCCTGAGCTGGATGCGTCTCAACACACCGCTCGCGCATGTGTGTGTCTCAGTGTAAATGGTGATGGCTCTTTATTATTGCCAGAAACATCCCAACACTCCAACATGCGATGTTACCCGGCGGTACTGTTCCTAAGTTTCACATCACACGTATAGCAAATGTATCACCTAGCTTCACGTGAAGTGTTTACGGAAATGCTTCTGGAGAATAACTGGAGAAACTGGTTTTACATTCATTCCGCTGTTGAAATCCGGGGAGTTAGCTAACATTAGCCCGGCCAACAGTAGCTTAAACTTAGGTCAGCTGTGGATACAAATGGTCACTTACCTGGTCTCGAATTTTGAGAACCACCATATTTCTGGGATTTTAATTGTTCTCATGCAGATTCATAAAGGGATATTTGTCTCCTTCCGAATCGCGGTGTTTGATCTCGGTCTAGCTCTCCCGCTGGTCTACTGGAGGCCTAACGTGACGCTAGCTTAGCTCTCTTGCTAGCTTCCTAACCTGATGGCATGAAAGCAGAGGAGTAGCGGAAACTCCATAGCATTGCCGCCACCATACGTCGCCTCCCAAAAAGACGCAATTCAATAGGTCAAACGCGCTGTGCCCTCCTAGTAAGAGAGTCTCTGATTGGCTGCACGAACAGCGCTCTGTGACAGACGCACAGTGTCGAGTGTTGCGCTGCCGTCCACGCTCTTGTCATAATAAATGTAGTAGATTGTTTTGTAACGAACGATTTAAACATATTTACAATGCAACTCATTGACATTATGATCACTGTGAAATACATATATCAAGCTATTTGGCTCCGTTTGGTCGGCTTTTCAGGAACAGCTGTTTATTATTCTGTTTACACACAGTGACTCATATTGAAGTTGTACAAACAGCGAGAACCATGTTATCATTGGCCGCCAAGCAACTGTAGTGGAGCCACTGAGAGTTATATTAACAGTATTTTCTCACGAAGAGGAGTATAGGTAGCCATGCCATGCTGACACTGAAATGCTCCAACTGTTATACACTCCAGTTTTCTTCCTCTTTTTTCCTTATCATGTTAAAATAGGAGCTGGGGGAGTAGGTGATATTTTTGTAGCTACAGTGAATAGTTTGGATACAAAATAAATTGCTTCACAAGCTTAGATGGTGGACATGCAAAACTTAGACCACTTAGGCTTTAATAATACTTCTGTCTGACTACTAAACTCCAGGACATATCAAATGGGTTTATTGTAAGACAAAAAGACAGTATAGGTCCATCTTCTGTAACTTTAAGTGGGTTCAATCCCACAGGTTGGTGGGTTTTAAATCCTCCGTGTGTTTCAGGACCTGTAAACTAACACCAAAATGTGGTGGAATATGGCCCTCTAGTGATCTGTCCTTTAACTACAAGCAGGCATTGAAAGTAGCTGATGTGCATCAAATTTAATAAAGGCTTAAATGAGAAATACAAATACAATACATAAACCTAAGTCTGTACTTATTACTTGTTATTTAGGCATGTTTAATTAACGCAGGCTGAATTTAAGAGCATTGTTGACTCTTGACTTGTACAACCTTTTCTTATCCTTGTGATAAAATTAATAATGTGGATTAATTTAAAACAATTTAGAATAAAAACATGGAGTCTAAGTGATTTCAGATTTAGACACGATTATAAACTAGTTTACGCTATACAAAAGTTAGAGGAGAAGAAGTGCATGCACTAATAATGCTGAAAATAAGGGTGTCTGTCGAATCGCTAACGGAAAGTTACAGCCACACCAGCTGATGATGTGGGACAGTAATTTCCTCTGTGTGTTGAAAATACCACGGACTGGACTGGCAGGGATGACATTATGGAAGAGGGCCAAAAGGCTTGGACACAAAACTGTCTGTGCACTCGGTGACTTAGTGGTTCTGTCATAGAGGCAGTATATTGAGATTCAAATGTTAACAGTGCAGCAATTTAGCAATCTGCTGCCATATCATTATGTGAAAGAAATGTATAAAAGCTACAGTCAGATCATATCATGGCATGTTTTTTGATTTTTGTAGTAGTAATTCAGCTTCAACCGCTCAGTATAAAAATAAAACAAGAACAATGTTAAGGTTTTCTTTCTGTTGAAACCACTTAATCAATATGTGTCTCAAGCTGTCAGGCAGTGCATATTACTCACTGTGATTACTCTCCACCAAGAGGCATCTGTGCCAATAAGAAATAAAACAAAGCAGTACGGCAAAGGACAGTTTTGGGAGTCGGGTGGTAGTGGGGGTCTTGTGAAAGAATGTGGATTATGTTCACCAGTTCAACTTTCCAGGCTAGTCTCACATTTCAAGGCACTGGATACAAAGAGAGGGGAGAGGGAAAAGGTTGCGCAGCTATGTTGATGATTTTGGGTGTAGGTTGGTCGCCTTTGCTGGGGGTAATCCTCCTGGATCTCTTCCCTAAGCCCCGCGAAGGCCACAGTAACCAAAGGAGGAATAAACTCTCGCTGGCGCGGCTGAGGTAGAGAGGGGTTCCCACAAATTAAATTAAGAGGAAAAACAGTGGACAAAAGAGTAAATGCATAAATGGAGAAAACAGATGCATACTTGCATACCTCTACAATCTGCAACCCTCTTAAAAACTGCACCCTGACCCCCTTGTTTATAGGGCCCTTTGTGTGTGCGTGCGTGCGTGTGTGTGTGTGTGTGTGTGAAGAGAGAGAGAGACAGAGATAGAATGATAGAGAAATACAAATTTCAATGTATTTGTTGGTTTCTTTACTGAAATGAAAACATTTGTATTATTTGCTGTAGACAAAAAATCCAAAGCACCAGTTTCTAAGTCCTCCCACCTGAACAGAATGATACATTACTAGAAATAATAAATAAATGACCAGACAGACAGTTTTCCGAGAGGTGAGACGACCCTTAGCGTCCAGGTGCCAGCTGTGGGGCCTGCACAGCGATGAGACAGCCACAGACATGCATGCAGGATCATGCCTTAGATTACTGGATGCTGGACTATGCCCCCTGTCTGTCTGTCCAGCCTTCAGGATGAGGGATAGCAAACAGCTGGACAGTTGGGGATGAAAGTGGTGTCACACTGGGTCATTCCCAGCTGCTGTCAGACAGTGGCGAGATGGGAGGAGAGAGCATTTCAGCTCAGCTTCCCACCACTGTTCCTAGAGTGTTAATGTAGAACCAGTGAACACAATCAGCAGATAAATCCAAATCCTTGTCATATACTGTCTCCTAAATATCTGAGGGTATATTTCAAGAATCATTAATATTTATGGGGAGAATGGCCAAAATGTATCGAAACATCTAATCACATTGAGCAGTAATGTGGGAAACAGGTGCACAAAGATGAGATTAGATAATTTGGTCTTCTACGAAAGCAAAGACATTCGTCCTTCGGGCCAAACAGTAAACTGAGGAGAGCTACTGAAGAATGCTTTGAAGTGACAAATAAAAATGTGAGACTGTGGGCAGCTGTAGATTTATGACGATGACAAATCTGCATAAATCTGTCCTATTCACACAGGCGTTGCGCCTGGTTCAGATAAAAAAAAATCTTCCTGTTTTATCAGATTCTCTGGCAGTGGGCAGTTACGTAACCAGTGAGTGGTAAAGTGCTTTATAGGTTCACAGCTTATTGTTCCCTCTTGGCTTGGTGGTGGACCCAGTGCAATGACACATTCTTTGATAACTTACTTTAAAAACCTTGTCTGAGCATGTGCTAAAACTACTGGACATATAACATTAAGTTCATTCATACATTTCTAAAAAAATAAATTATTGTTATTGCACCCACAGCAGCAACTGATGTGACAAAAATGACAATGACTAGTCCGACCAGTAGATGGCAGTGTTTCTATTTCAATGATCTGTCTGTGCACTTGTGGAGGCTACAGGTGCTATTTTTAGGAGGCACATCACTGCAAACTGTTGTCGGTACAGTAGATGCAGCTTTCGTAGCGTTCACATGTTATGCAATAACAAGCAAATAATGTCTTCTTTACAAGCAGTGAGCTGCTCGAATGTATCATACCCCTGTTATCATAATTCCTGGTGCATACATCTATTGATGTTATATAATGTAAGTATAACTAAATACTAGGAGCAGTTTAACATAATAAAAAAGGAATAAGAAGCATCAGCATGCAAGTTTATTATCTGAGCATTAATGAGGTTTACACAAAATTATATAGTACTATAGTGAAAGTTATAACCAGATGAGCCTCGATTCGCGGAGATGATTGATGAACTTGCATGAGAGACACCTGCTGAGGACAGTGTCCGGAGCTGCCCTCGCCTCTCCATCCATCACACATTATCAGAGGACAGTGGAGAGTGTTCAGTCTGCCAATACCTTGGCTAGGATTTTATATCGTCCCCTCTCTCGACCAAGTGAGACTATTTATAGCTCAGTCGTCATACACAGACACTTATTGCCTCGCATCCCGCAAGTCCTCCAATCTGAACAGCAGCACACACCGTCAAACCGTCAAATTGTCTTCAAGGTAACGTTTAATACACAACGTTTCTACTGGTGTTTAAGTGTGTGAGTAACGACATGTGCATGCAAACTACAGTGTGTTTCAAAACAATGTAATAGGTAAGTTAAAACTCAGAATAATTCATGTTGGCTAACGTTACTAGCTAACAGTAGTGTTTCTAAATTATGAATTAACGTTATGTTAAGCAATGCTACGTTTATTTTATTAAACGGCAGCTTTAGCCTGAACTAAGCATTAAAAGCAAAGAGTTAATTTATACTAAGCCTAGCTGTTATGTATAATAACTATTTTAAAATAATGTTTTTTTCACATCTATGTTCGTGCCCAGTAGCTAGCAAAACAGTTTGCTCATGCTAACTCATAAAGTACGTCTGCGCAATGATATCTGAATTAACCGTTGGTGCTGCGGTCACAGGTGGTTGTTTTTGTAAACGATTTGAGTGAGTCCGCCATTAAAAGTGGACCTTGTTTTGAATAGTGTGTCCCTCCTGTTACTACAATAGCGCCCCCCTCGGTGGTTAGTGTTAGCGACATGTTTAGCATAAAGTTAATAAAGGCTTCATCATTACTGCTTTTGCAGACGGTTTTATTTTCACCATGCAGGGTATTGTAGTGCAGACCGCCACCTATAAATAGTTTAAATATTGCTTGGTACCACAAGTGGTTTAAGTGTGAATGTCCATACTAAAAGATCTCGTTAATTAACCAGGCTGCATCCCCCTTGTCAAAGGCATATCACGTGATTTGACTATTTGTTTAAATAATAAACTGAATAGGATATAACTATCTACTGGGATGAGGAATAGTGGAAGAACTTTTTTCGATCTTTCAGC